AGTTGGTGTTCTACACACCTTTTTGTTTGCTTCCACTTATTTAAACTGTGTTCACATTGGAGAGATCAGATTATAAAAGTAGAGTTCAACTCTGCCAGTTTCCAGTGCATCAGTCTTACCCTGGAGTACACATTACTCCCCTCTCCATCTTTAATCCTCCCACTGTTTTGAAGCCAGTGAAAAGAAATCTGCCAAATTAATCTGTTCATTTGCTTCTCTCTACTGTCACAATCAGAGACATTCAGCCATGTTTACGACAACAGTTCAGGTGAAACAGATGTATTGTATTGTATCCTTTGTAAATGCATCTTCGATGACAAAATGGTGACCTATTTTATGCTATTTGCTAAAATCAGTAATCCTTTCAGAAGAAATTCAGTTATCAAGATGTATCAAAACTATTGTTTATTTTACAATGATCACGAAAATGATCTGTCGGACTTTTTTTTGCAATCGAACAGTACTATATACATGATATGAATTAAATCAGTTTATGATCATTGCTTGAAATTGTCTGTTATTGGTTGTAAAGTCTGATTACTGGTGGACTAAGTACAGATTGACAGCACAGGAATATCTCCTTTCACTGTTGTGTGGGGTACATAGCAGATATAGAAAGCTAGTAATGGAAGTATGGCAATGATCAAGGTAAATTACAAGATATTTCAGATAAGATAAAAAATATCCAACAATAGGTATTTCCATTGATGAAAAGTTTCAGAGAGTGCAAAAGTGGCAGAAACCACAATTGGCAAAACTATAAAAGGCGCTATACTAAATACAAGGATCGTCATTAATTGCCTGGTCAGATAGCTTGGTGCCATTGACATGATGTATAATACAACTGAAAGTATCTACCGCCTATATTGTTTAGGAATGATGTAAGTGCTAGAAGAAATCTCAAATTATGTGCCTACTGAGAGCTTTTTCCATTTCTGCTTCCTAATGTCGGGCCAGTTTCCAATCCAGTGAGCCAATTTGCCATTCATTCCGGTAAGCCTTAATGTTATTAAAAAAAAGTTTGAACGTGGAGCTAAAACAAAAAGCTTTTTGAAAATATAAGTATATTACATCCACTGGATCACTTCAGCCACATATTTAGTTACCTCCTAAACACATTCCAGTAGAATTATAAAGTATTAACAATTGCTGTTAAAACATTCAAATTCATACCTCCTTATGGCCTTTGTGCTTGTTTGATGAATATTGAGAGCATCCTGTAAAGTTATATGAGTATCAACTCTACCACCATTGTTATCATTAACTGGATTAAAATGGCCAAATTCATGGTTTAACTCCTTTTTGAAATTTGGGATTACATTTATTATTCTGCAGTTTTCAATTACACCCAAATTTGACTGGATCTGGAATTTGTCCACAGAAACTCCGAGAAGATATTGCTAACCAAGATTCAAGCACATTTAAACCATAATTTCCTAACTTCCTGGCAATAGTTCTTGCGAAATTCAAAAATAGAAGCCTTCTGGTCAAGAGAATTATCCTCATTTCAAATTCAGCCTAAAATAACTTTTAATGCTTCTCTCTTTTATTACCAGTAAGCCATTTTTTCATGTATATACTTTCCAATTTAAGCCCTTGCTGACTTATACAGGGTGACCAAAAAGTTGTGATATCTACTCTTATTAATTTAAAAAAAACATAATTTTCTTTAAGACATATTAGACATTGTAATGGTATCACAACTTTTTGGTTACCCTGTATAAGAGTCCTTATAATACCCTTTGACTCATTTAGTAGAATTTCAGTTGAAACTGAAGTAGCCAGATGTCTTGCCCTTTTGCACATTGGATCAATGCTATTTATACAACCTTGTTCCCAAGATTTTGACCTTTACAGTGTATTTGCGTTTAAATTTTAAATGCATGCATCTTGATTGCAGATTGAAATTCTGGTCATCAGTTGACCTGGGGTCCAGAGTTGGCCTGGGCCTGGGCTGTATGCTTAACCTGGGCCCTGTGGATTAGGGAAAGGAAAAGGGAGCCAAGGATCCTGCTCCTGATTGCTGTTCAAAGACCTTGACTGGAAAGTGAGCTTATGTGCACAAGACAAGACTCTCACAAGATTGGTCTTGATGAAGAAGGCCCCTCGTTCCATCTGATCTTATCTCTCAAGAACACCCACCCTACCGCCAGCGCCTTGGGACATTCTTCTGACGTGAAAGGCGCTATACAAATGTAATTTTGTTGTTGGCCCCATCACAGCATCAAGCTGCTTTTTCAGTGAGTCCATTATCCTGGCCTCAAGCACTTTTCCTGGAAACCTGCTATATTGATTCGTCTCTGTGTGAGGAAAAACTTGCTGATATCTGTCCAGAAATTACCCTTGACAATTAAATGTATAACTTCAGCTGTCCCCTCTGACGTCTTCTCTCAAGACTGAAGAGCATTAGCTTGTCTAATCGTTGCTCTTAGCTCACTGGGATCATCCTTGTTGCTGTTCTCTGAACTACCTGTCTCTAGGCAGCCAATTATGTAGTGGTGATCAGAAATGCAGTATTCAAGTGCGATCTGACCAAAGCACTCTACAGCCCAAGTATGATGTCTGGGCATCTAAACTGAACTGATTTAACAATATAACCCAGCTTCCTCTTTGGCTTGTTCATTGCTGCTTCACACTGTTTGACACAGTGAACCAGCTGACACCCCTAGATCTCTTTCAGCTTCTACCTTGGCAAGCTCTATCCCATCCATGGAGTATTTATGATTCCTATTGCATCCTACATAGTATCTTGCAGTAACAGTATTAAAATTAATTTCCCAGATATCAACCCATGTGTATCCCCTATCATGCTCTCTTTGTAGGACCTTTGCTGCCTCCTCTAATTTCACAATTTCCTCTACCCCCAAACTTGGTGTCATCTGCAAATGTAACTATCTTACACTGAATCTGGAAACCCAGGTCATTAATATATGCAAGAAAATGGAGAGGTTCCAGTACAGCTCCCTGAGGTACCTCGCTTCATACCTCTCCCCATTTTAAGTTAACTCCCCTAACAAAGACCCTGTGCTTCCTTCCCTTCAGCCAATTCAGAATCCATGTCCATGTTTTGCTCTTCGTACCCAGTTTGCGAAGGAGTCTTTCATGTGGTATTTTGACTTTCGGAAGTCTTGGTGTACCATATCATATGGCTTCCCACAATCAATTTGCTATGTCATTGCCTCAAAAAGTGTCTATCAGATTGGTCAGGCAAGACATACCCTTTCTGAATCCATGATAATAATAATCCTTGCATTTGATATAGTGCCTTATCACGTCTTTGAGATGTCTCAAAGCGCTTGACAGAATAAACTGTAAAGTGAATTGAGTGTATATTTTGTAGGCAAAACTCCCACATTTCCAACTTCCTTTCTTTTCCAATTTCTCTAATTATTGAGGTCAGGCCTAGTGGGTCTATACTTCCAGATTTAGTTTTGTCACCTTTCTTGAATTTGGGAACCAAATCTACTAGCTTCCAGCCCTCACTAGTTGTGATTGACTGCCTCATAATATCTGTCTGTGCTGCACAAATTTCCTGCCTTGTCTCCCTGAGTGCCTTGGGGTACAAGTCTCACAGGATTTGTTGGTGTTAAGTCCCTTGATCCTATCCAGTATCTCGGCCTCACTTGAGCTCAAACAATGTGAGCCATGACATCTCCCGCAATCGAACAGCTTGCCAAAACCTGTCAAGGCTCTCACATGAAAAATAGCCACCTGAACACCATACATCAGGCCAAACATGGTTTGTGAAAACATTCCCTGATACAGGGAAAAGGGAATGTGTCAGGAAAAAGGAAGAATTATTGACGAATTAAATTCCCGAATGTGAAAACTTCAGATGCCATCAACTTTGATGTTGCACTTTAATGCCATTCTTAGATCTCCTGGAATGAGTTGTTTAATCAATATAATTGAAAAGAGGTTGTTTTTGAAAGAGTTACTTCACGTGGGTATGTGCGTTTATATGATTAAGTATTTAACTTATTGTGGAAGCAGAATGGTGGGGGCGGAGTGGGGGGGGGTTGAAATATTTAACTCTTTCTACTAGGATTTTTTTGTCTTGTGACTAGCTATGGGGCAAACAAATATTCGGGTCAGGGATCAGGATGTGTTAAATAACTGAATAGAACGAGTTGGGTTAAAGGATTAATTTCCTTTTATGGGATTGCATTGGAAAATGGCAAGGTACACAAAAGAGTTAATCCTCTGTGTAGTAAGGAAATGGATGAAATGGTTTACTGGGAACTAGAATGATATGTTTGAAAGGGTTAATCACTTTTTTTAAATCACGTCCTGTCTTTGCAGTCTGCGAATGGGTTAGTTTCTCTGAACAAAGGGTGCGGAAGCTAGCTGCTTTAGATGAAAGGGTTAATCCCTTCTTCTGGAAACAGCCTGTCTGTCCATTGGTTCTCTGAAGCTGTGAAGGGCCGAGGGAATGTCTTGATCCTTCCTGACTGGAACAGCCTGTGCCGTAGTGGGTCCTAGATCACTGAAGAAGGGATAACATCCTGAGTCATGCCTGACTACTGCCAGAAAGCATCTCCCATGGATGAGTTTTTTTTTTAGCTGACAGATTAGCAGAATGATGTTGCGACTATGTATTGCTGCTGATGTGCAATCCGATAGCGAGGCCTCGAGACAGCTAAAAGAAGCAGTCTCTGTGTAATGTAATTACATTGCTGACGAGCGCTGTGATGCAGGATTAGTTGCTATATACAGTACAGAAACCGCTCCACACTCCAGTTTCCTCCAGTAGCACTCTTGAGACGGGCTAAAAGCCTGCTAAAACTGGTCAACATTTTCGACAATTTTTAAAACCATAATTTCCGGGATTGCTAGAAGACTGGTCACCAACCGAAGCAAAAACGATTGATTCTAGTCACCCGAACACCGTCTGCTGAATGCATTTGGTAGAAGTTTTATTTTAACGAGTTCGCACCGATGGTTTATCTTTTTAAAAAAAGCTTTCTTTTTTTCTTCTTCCCCTTTTCTCTCTCTTTCAGGGCAACACCTCGGTGCAAGTCTTCCCACATTTTAAACCTCTCCTGGAGATTCGAGGTAAGAGCTGGCTTCAGTGAAGTGGATGTGATTTTTTTTGTTAAGCATCAATTTATAGCAGAGATGTCTCCAGCACAAAATAATTAAAGTGTTCAACGGGCGTGAGGCAGAGTAGTACATTGAGACTGTTGTGTGATTTAAAGAGTTTATTGCTCGTATATGTGCGTGGCTTCAAGGGCGGAGGGGGTAATGCATTAAAGGATGATACTGATTTAAATGTGATACACTTACAATAGAAATCGTTGCAACTGTGAAACCAAGATAGTCCATATTTGAAGGATGCTTAGATCGTTGTCTCTCTCGCGGAGTGGTTCCCAGCTGTGACAGTCAATCCGCACTTTGCGATAGAATTAAAGACCCCTTTTCTCCGGCCCGTTGCATTGATGTCTATGAGCAGGTGTGTGATACCTTCTGACAGCTCAGACCTTGTCACCTGTGGCAATGTCTTGTCACCTCTGCCAAGAAACACGCTGTTGGACATCCGGGAGGAAGAACTTTGGTTACTCACAATCCAGGACATCATACCAGAAAGTCTGTTTATTTTCTGGCTTGCAACTATGAAGATCGGCAAGAGGGGCTTCTCACCATTGTGATACTTAATAAAGAGGATGCTTCGTCGCAAGGGGGTCTCATAGTTGGTGGGTTTCCTTTGAAGTTTTTCAGTTGATGTCACGTCCTCTGTTTTTCAGCACCAGTTGGCCTCTAATTCTCTGTCAGTCAGGATGTATGATACTTTGTTATTGGAGAATGGTTAGAATAAAATGATGGTTGCATTTAATATAGCATCACGTTGGGAGGATATACTGTAAAGTGTGGTCAGTGTAGTTTGTAGGCGAATGCGGCAGCCTATTTGTGCAAGGCAATCTCCATGAAGTGAATGACCAGTTTTATTTAAGGGATTGCTGGCCAAGACAGTGGGAGATGCTCCCTTCTCTTTTCAAATTATGCCATGGGATCTTTGATGTCCTCCTGAACAGACAGTCAGGACCTCAGTTTAATGCCTCACCTGAAGGATGGCACTTGTCGCCTCCAACACTGCAAAACCCCTCCAGCATTGTTTGTTGGAACGTTAGTGTAGACCATGTGAGTTCAAATCACTCACATGAGGCTTGATCTTACAACCTTCTGAGTCAGAGGCAAGATAGCTACCAACTGAGCCAGGCTGACACCGGAACTGGGTGGTTGCTTTGGCCCCTTTGAATTGAAAGAAAGATGATTGTCAAATAAATACGAGTGACTTGGAAAGCACTGTAGCTGAACGTGTGATTGACACCCAAAATGTGAGCCACCCATGAAATGCAGGTGACCTAGAAAGCATGACAAAGATCAGCAGATACCAACCCCAATCGTGTCTACGTCAGCTGGCACTTCCAGAGCAAATAGTTTATGTGGAAGACACTATGTGCTTCTGGTGACTTTACATGTCAAACGACTGCCAGGATGGTGGAAGGCGAACTGGATGGACCTTGGTCTTCTTTTGCTTAGCAAATACTTATGTTCTTAAGGGGAGAGATGCACACCATTCCTATCACTACTTTGGAATTTCATGTTGAAATGTGAGAGGGAGCTCTAACCAAAATGTTTGCTCCCAAACATTTAAGATATTTCAAATATCTTTTAACTAGCATTTCTAATTCATAAAATACTGCAGTGTGGGGTGACTGAGAGAGATAGGTATAGCGTTTAGAATTAGGGACCATTCAGAAAGATGTACCACTCCCGCATGTGTGCATTATCCGGGTGTTTGCTCCCACTGTTGCATCACAGTCTTCACCAAATTGCCTCCTTCTGTGCGACAAATTTCATTGCTTCTATGTTGCGTTCTCTGGCTCTCTCCCTCTATTGCACGTGTACATGCACGTGTCAATGCTGTTTAATTTTTTTCTGAAATGTACAGAGTAGAAATTAAACCGGGTCACCGTTAGAAACCACTATTTTATCGGTTTATTTCTGGCAGTTGCTTAGAAATTTCCAACGAGCACAGCATTAGTGTAGGAGGGAGTAAGTAGTTCTAATCCGCATTTTGTCGTCTATACACGTTGGGTGACATCACATGAACAGACAGGGAAACCTCTTGCTCTCAATATAATGTTTAAATCTGTGTATGTGAGAGAGAAAAAATGAACCCTCATCCGAATGTGCTAATTATTTTGAAAACAGGGAACTCTAACTGGGGGAATAAATAGACTGTTGTTTCCCAGGTTGGCCTTTGTTGAGTTGTGATTTGAAACCAAGAGGGCCACACTGGTTAAGTTTGTCTTGATATGCCATGCTTTGAATATAGAACATCATATCATTGTCACTGGTATATACGATAAACTATTAACAGGACGCTGGCTTAACTTGTCACTACCACTTAAGTAGCAATGCTGTCAAAATCCCACTTAACTAATCGCATGCTAGAAATTCTTGTCATATACAATGTAAAATTGGTCGGATAACTGGTCCTATAAGATGGTGTCTTGCATCACAGTGGCCTCCTGCCCTATCCTGTGGTTTGTGCGGGCCTCCTGCCCCACCTTGCACTCTTTCCTGTTACACAATACAATACACAGAAACACTTATATAGCACTTTTCACGTCGGGAGGACGTCCCAAGGTGCTGGACAGTCAGGGATTTGGACCCGAGCTGGGGTCGGGATTGGGGAGGTGGAGGGCAGGGAGATTGGCTGAAGGTGCGGTCGAAGAGGAGGGTTTTGAGACACACCTTGAAGGAGGCAAGGGAGGGAGCGAGGTGAAGGAATGTGGGGTGGAGTTCCAAAGGGTGGGGGCCGAAAGACGATAGGGCAGGAGGCATTCCAATACAGCAGAAGTCTCTGAGATGCATCTAAGCATGCATGGCCAACCTCTGTCCTGTCCAGTGCCCAGACCACTCACAGTGCCCCTTGTGGACCTATGGGAGGACATAGGAGAACCTATGCCTAATTAGTCACTCTGGATAACTGGTTGCAGAGCCCTTGCCCCTTGGAATGATGAGTTATCAGGCGTTTATTGTACCTGTCACATACCAGCTTGTGACTGCCAAGAGATCAACATATAACTTTGCCTCCCTCCACATTGCTAACAATGATGCCTATTGTCAGTGGTAGTAGAGACAAACAGCAATAAGTAGCACTGAATCCTTTGCCTTTACTGTACCTCCTAATGACATGGTTCATAGACCATTCATTCGAGTCTAGCTTCCGGAAATAGGCTGACTGTTGACATTGTGACTGGGATGGAGGCTAATAGCAGGACTAAAATTCAATCTTATCAATGGTGTTTTACATTTCATTAAAATTCTGGTTGAGTCATACTTCCTTTGTATTGACCCTAAACATTGTGATGGAATATTACAATGCTTTGAATTCCTTTCTTGAAAATGCTGCAGGGACAGTTTTCTATGTCTCAATAAGGCAAGTCGATTAATGTGTGGAGTCTGGAAGCTTGTGGGCTACGTTTGCACTTGACTAGCAGTAGAGACACACAATGTCATTGAAGTATGCCACATAATTTGATATTATTAATATAGCAAATAATAACAAATTATCATCACTAATAAAATCTTATTAGTAAATCATGCAAACTTTTGATTAATCCAACCACTTGCCAATTTATCACCTCAAGGCTGGGAACTCTCTCCTCGCCGGCCTTCCCGCCACCTCCCTCCACAAGCTGCAGGTCATTCAGAACTCTGCAGCTCGTGTACTGTCCCGCACCAGGCTTCGCGACCACATCACTCCCACCCTCGCTCGCCTCCACTGGCTCCCCATCCCCCAGTGGATCGAATTCAAGATCCTCATCCTCACCTACAAGGCCATTCATGGCCTCACTCCCTCCTACCTCTCCGACCTACTATCCCCCTACTTACCTGCCCGTACCCTCCGTTCCTCTGGCTCCGGTCTGCTCCACATCCCCCGCCCCAACCGCCCTACCATCGGTGGCCGGGCCTTCAGCCTCTCAGCCCCGAGGCTCTGGAACTCTATCCCCCAGTGCCTTCGCCGCCTCCTCCCTTTCCTCCTTTAAGGCCGGTCTCAAGACCTTTCTCTTCGACCGTGCGTTCAGCTCCCCTCTCGACTCTCTACCCCCTCCTCGCTCCCTCCCTTCCCTCCCCTCACCCTGACCATTTCCCCCCAATGCTCGGGTCCTAACCCAACTGTACAGCACCTTGGGACATCCTCCCGATGTGAAAGGCGCTCTATAAATGAAATCTTGTTGTTGTTGTTGTTGTTGCCTTATAGACATATAGACATTTGAATGTCCAGATGAATGTAACCATCTTAAAAATGTTACATATTGATGATGAAATGCAGTCAGTGCCATAATTTTACATCGATTGAGGACCAATGTGGTCAGGATACCATTTCGCTCATTGTCGGTTGACTGTGCAGCAAGTACACACACTCCTTTTGATTTTTCCACCACCGCACACCATTGGCCTGTAATATACAGAAAACAAACTAAAAGTGAGACTGAGTAAATATTGATACATCATGTTCAAATATTGTAGAAAATGTACTCCTTTGTAATGAGGTAGTTTGGCTCCATAAATTTAACATCACTTCCTTTGAGAAGTGACTTCAGCACAGGAAACGAGATCCGCAGTACACCCACTCTCGAAGTGAACCCATGCTAAACCAAAGTGGACAATAATGCACTGGCCTGTATTAACTAGATGATGTATTTTATTTTTAGCTTGAATTAAATGGTAGTGATTATTGACCAATGAAGGTTTGAAACGTAATATTTTCCAGGATGGGTTTGAGACTAGGTTTTAATTATAAATATTAATGCAATTAAACTACTTTCTCAATACATTTCAAGCAAAGAGTTTAAATTACTGACTGCAATAGTTTCCTTATATTGATTTTAAAATCCATTATTTAACACAATCCTACAGTCCCAGTTCAACATGAGTGTATCCGTCAGTTGATAATGGAAAATTAGGGATTGTGTTCAATTGGAATTGGGCCACTTCTGATTGGAGAAGAAACTATTTGGAGTCCTGTGGTATAGTGGTTAGAGCACTCGCGTCGCAAGCGAGAGGACCTGGGTTTGATTCCCGGCCAGGGCGAAATGTAGGGCAAGTTTCCTGACTGCACACGCCTCTTTTTACTTAGAAGTAAGTAGGAACCTGGTTGTTAGTCGATTGGCGGATCGCTTATCCAGGGGTAATAAACCCTTCAAAATAAAAATAATAATAATTTGGTTACTCAATGCACGACTGTGTGTGGGACACTGCTGTGCGCAATTGGCTGCCGCATTTCTCCAACAAAATATACAGCAATTCACTTTACAGTATATTCTGTGAAGCAAGAAGCAGAAGGTAGCTAATGTTGAGACACCTCGACGGTGTGACATGGCGCTATATAAAATGCAAGGATTATTATTATTTTATTTCTTTAAAAATGTATGTGGAAAAAAAAGACAGATTGATGCGGAATATCTACAGGAGTAGTTCAGTCCAGCTAACGTCAAGAATCCAACAGTAATGCTGTAGGATATTGCATTCTGCCCAATTGTGTACATCTATGTGCATATTTTCCTCCATGTCTGCTTATTACAAGTTGCCTGAAAATCAAGATCTCTCCTGTGGATTTAAATCTGTACATTCTCTGTTTATCTTTTACATTTTAATAACAATAATAACACATAATTCTAGCTTGTTGCAGTTTGAAATTCTCTTCCAGTTTTTGAGGGGATGCAGTTACTGCTCTTTGATTGTCAGTGATCAAGAAAGGAACATTTTCCTCTTTCTGCACTTGATGTCAACATCAATTGCTCAAACCGTAGGCAAATTTCCTTCCTCCCCACACATCTGTTTATCTTGCAGTAAGTTGGAACCCGCTTGTTAGTCGATTGGAGGATTGCTTTCCACGGGGTAATAATCTCTCCAATAAAATAAATAATTTGGTACTCAATCCATGATTGTTTATAGAACACTGCTGTGCGCAATTAACTGCCGAATTTAGCCTACAAAATATGCAGTCATTACACTTTGCAGCATATCCTGTGAAGCACTTTGTGAGGTTATTATAACAATAATAATCCTGCCTTTACAGGCTCCTGTTGTTGCAAGATGTCAGCAGATTTTGGAGTAATCTTTTATTTTCAGAAGGTAGCTATTTTTTAGCGTATTTCATGTTACCTGCTGTAACAAACCTGAGCTTGTTGGATGTCTGATGACCAAATGGTGACTATTCTCCCTGGAAGAAGGTAAGCAGGGACTCATTCACGCTGCACTGACTCCACAATGATGTGCCAGGCAATGGAATATTGGAATCAAGTCAGTTCACTGTGCTGGTCTCAGCAGTCAGGTCTGCAGTACTCCGAGGCACTGTTGATGACAGACTAGCCAGACAGGAATTGTGGCGGCAGGATCACTGAAAGCAGGGTTTCTTCAAATTCAACTCCTGTTAACCCTGCTAACAAATCCCTCACATCTTAACTGGACAAACAGCAGGAAGCTTGACAGACAGTTTGCACTGGCAAGTTATGTGGCTTTAGCTGGTTAAACTCGAGCAAACTGGTTCAACTGTAGATTTAGCTGGTTAATCCCCAACGCAAACTCTGGAATCTCCCATCCTTGGCTTTTGTCAATAGTTTCCGGTATTAGGTATTAGCAGCAAGAGAGAGTACGCCCTTCATTTCCAGACACAAAGAAATTTCCAAGCATAGGTGGCATTTATATGTGGAATTATGTCTAATTTAGATACGTTTAAGTATGACGATCGGGTTCCATCTGTGTCACATCCACAAAGAATTTTTTTGTAATATATTCACTTTGAATATTCACTTTGAAAGAAGAAATTAAGTTGCCAGCACTCATCTCACCGTGAAGAATGTTTCTAGCCAAACATTGTAGATGGACGGTGTTTCGTCTTGGCCTGTGGAACTTGCCGTGTCACAGTCGTTCTTCACTGGCTAGCTTTAGTGCTTCACTCGGGTAAAGCTGCCAGTTGAAGAGCTGTTGTGGACGACCATTTTATCGCTCATGTTACATTCAGAAGCGTTGAAATTGATCAGCTGCATCGAGTCAGGCTTCGGATAATTCATTTTGAAAGGAAGTCTTGCCATCAAGATGCTGCCATTTTTATGGATGGAATCAATTTCAAGACTCTCTTTGAGAGGCAATGGCCACCAGGGTAATCAAGCATTTCAAATTAGTTATGGTCATTTGAGGCACGTTGTACTCTTATCTTTACCCCTTGAATTACTGAATTTTTTTGCTCATATAGTACGTCAGTTGTTGAAGATCGTACAGACCCAATTAGTTTTTGAAGGATATATTCTCACACAACGGAATGCATTTATTGAAGGCTTTATACTTCTACAATACCAGTGAGGTGTTGATGGCTCTATATCTGCCTAGGAGTTATTGAAGATTCTCTCTGTACTTTGGCACAGGGATAGTAAATGCTGGACTGGACCGAAGAGGTGGTACTTTAGCCAAGAGCTGTGGAATGGATAAAGAGTAAGAGATGTTGTACAATTATTTAAGAGTGAGACTGACGCGAGCAATTTTGAGCCAGCAATTTACATCTCGGTTTCCATCCAAAGTTCAACCATGGGTTTTGGTGACACTATCTGAGCCACTATGTTCCATTGGAAACTACAACTTGCTCTCTGCGGTCCATTAATCCACCAATCAAAGCTTATTTTGCAGACATGATTCCATATTGGATTGCATTGTTTCAGGATTCAGCATTCCTGGCATTAAGCCCTTCATTAAGTGTACTGTTTCATTAGGAGGTGCTGTAATAGGTCAATAACGATGCCAGTGGAAAGTTTTTAGTGTTTGAAGCCAGGATATGAGCTACTATTTTGGGGATGGGACAAGAAGTCAGTTTTTAGGCATGTCAAGGTGAGGAATCCATCTTATTCTCCTACAGTGTCATCTGGATCAGGTGGACCACAGATTAGATGCAGAGTAAAGCTCACTCTACACTACTCCATTTACACAACTAAGTCAGGTAATAGTAAAGGATCAATGCAGAGCAAACGTCCGCCACATTCTCCCATGGAATCTTATCAAACTTGGTTCAATTACTTCAGCAGCTTATTAGAGGAAACACTTTGTGTGTATGTGTGTGGGTGGGGAGTGAGGGGGTGAAGTGTAGCGGATTCCATTCATTTGCAGAGCTAAACATTATCCATTGTAGATTCTCCATGGATACTCAGTACTTCAAAAACAAATGTGTGACTGCAGGAGGATGAAATCATCTCCACGTTTCAAACTGGTTCCGTTAACATGTTTGTAAGTTATCTTCTTTTCTTTCGTGATCTCTCTAGGTCACTTACCTACTGCAGCCGACCGGATGGGCAGCCTACTCCCAGCCTCTGCCTACACCAGTCTAAAACTGCCAGAAGGATGTGCATAAGACCATCCCAGGAGCAACAATGTCTACCTGGGAGGGAGGGTCTGGGTTCTGTTTGTTGCTTCCTGATGATGAAGCTAAGATCAGAGTTTAATGTTGTTGGGGATTGTTGTAATGAGCCTGATGCACGTTGGTGTTCCATTGTGCCAAACTTCCATCCCACCTTAAGCACATCTCTCAGTTTACATTGTTTACTTCTCTTGCTGGAGAGATGAATTAATATTCATTCATTATTTTTGACATCCTCCACACATCAATATCCACAGAGCACAGATAATTGTAATCCCATGACATATGGAATTGAGTCTAGACAATTGCACTGCGGTCCATTCGTTTTCAAGATTGATTTGATGGTTTCTATGTGATTGAATAATGTCAAAAAGCCAGGTTTTAATCGTTATGCAAAGTGATTGAGGGGATTTCCAATCATGGGTGGCCATGGTTGGTGCCTTTGTTGTGTTTGCACCAAAACTGGAAGCTTAGAAACACAGAAACAGAAGTAGGCCTTTCAGCCCCTCGAGCCTGTTCCACCATTCTTTAAGATCAGACTACAAAACGTGCTTTAGCTAATCTACCCATTGGAACTGATTGTTATAATTTCCAGCAGCAAATCTGTTTTGGGGTATTATAGAAGATAATGCACAACTGCTCGAAGATAATTAGAATGACCAAGAAAGCAAGATTATCTACCTTTATAGGGACTTATTGTTTCTTTGAATCAGAAGACTTCCGCACTCCAATCTTCATTCAGACAATATCTACAGAACCTTGTTGCTGAGTGAAAAGACTAAGGTAGAATAGGTTCAATTGAAGTGAAGATCCGTTGGAGATTGTTGAGCTATATACAGGTCGCAGCAGTGGAGCGCACTGGGAGCCAATATGGAAGGTGTCTGCTAACATCATGGCATCAGAGCATCAAAATTGTTTTGAAGGTGTGATCCCAAACCTCAAGCGCCTCAGTCTACCAGGTAGGTAATCTTGTTCTTCTAGTTTTGAATAAAGAAAGCTGACAACCTTTCAGTAGATTCAACATTGCCAGTTATTGTGTTTGTTGGTGTCAGTCAGTGGGGTGGATGGAGTTTGTTGGCATTGTGGAATTTGTTGGTACCAGTATCATGGGGATTGCCAGTTCTGGTGTTATTGTAATTGTTTCTGGTTGTGACTGACTTTCGTGTTGGAATTAATCATTGGAATTAGTGAAATTTTGGTACTGCCAGTGTGATGGTGTTTATCAATGCTAATGCTGTAGCTATTTATATATTCTGGTGATGTGGAAATTGTGCTGAATATTTGATGTTTATTGATACTGGTTTTGGTCACCTTTTGGGTGGCTCAAATCTACAAAGATTGTGAATATCTTGGGCTGGCTGTTGCTTTCACTCCTCATATTTACTCTTTCATTTTATTCAGTACTAGAGAATGATCCACACATCTTACCTGTAATGATTACAAAACGAATATGGAGTGTCCAGTTTGCTTCCTGACATCTTGTTTGACAGCAGTGACAGTTCTGCGTTCTGTGACCTCTGACTGAGAAAGTGCTCATTTTGACTTCACAGCTATGTCTCACTACATCACTGCTGAGATCTCCATATCTAAAGAGAAGAAATTCCAACTATTAACATTGATAGATACTCCTGGGCTGGTGGACGGGGAAGGAGTCTACCCATTTGATCTGAACGAGGTGCTGATCTGGCTGGGTAAGGTTCCATTCTGTTGCAGTGAAGAAATCGGAAAGTAGTGAGTAATAATGCAGTAATTCGGTTGATTAATTCTGGGATTGGTTTGAAGCCAAGAAATTAAATAGTACTCACTCCCCTGACCTCTTCAGTCACTCAACTCCATACACTCCTCGCTCACTCTTTCACTCACTCCCTCGCCCACTCAGCTCCATGTTGTCCTGAGTTGCTCAGCCCACACATCGCTACTCAGCCCGGCTTTCTGAACTATTGAGGAGACAAACTCGCAATTCCATCTTCTCCTGAATTATGCAGCAGGCAACAGATCACTGAGCACAAGTTGGTCAGATTCAGGCCCACTCAGCTCAGGCTCTTGTTGAAAATACCTGCTCAGACTTAGAAATTGATCATCTCTATCTCATCTGTCTGAAGTGGTCACTGTTAGATATCCCCTCTCTGAGGTTGTAGAGTTAGCTAATCTATTTTGCAATCTTATTTGCTTTTGCAAAGACCCCCTCTCACACACACACACTCACGCACGCATGTACAGGTTGGATTGACAGCACAGTCAGCAGTAGTTTAGTATTGGGGATGGGGGTTGGGAAGGGCCTAGTCTTTTTTCGCAGAAAGGAAGTGCTTTTCTATGGATGAGAAAATCTAGTCTATTGTATGATGTGAGAGACCAGACTGCTGCAATCCACCCGTAACATGTACAGGGCATGTGTGCCACCATCCAACTGTGCGCGTGATGACATCGTTTTGTGCAGTTATAGACGGATGTTCCACCAAACACACAAATGCACATGGAGAAATGAAGCAGAAGTAAACCATTTGTGCTTTGTCAGTGTTCAATTTCAAAACCCAGTTTTTGTGCTGGAGGCCCCTGTCATCCAAACACTGTCTATAAATCTGTGTCCAATTTGGGATTTACCAATTCATTGTTGAGTGAGTCTATTCACCCCAGCCTGCTTTTGTTGTTTGTCAAGGTGAACAAGCTGACCTCATCCTTATTTTCTTTGACCCCGTGGGTAAGGCCAATTGCAAGCGGTTGCTGGATATTGTACTCAAGCTGAAAGACACACGTGGAGATAACCTGCACTTCTACTTGAGCAACGCCAACTTGCTGACAAACTCAAACGAAAGCAAGGTTTGTGACCTTTGAATTCTTTTCTTCACTACTCTTTCCCCTTTTGCCTCCTCTTCTGAAGTGCACCGTTGTTTCAAGCCAACTATAGTTGTACATCCACCAGTAACTCTCCAGTCAGTTAGAAAGCGAATATCAAGCTTTCATCAAAGGGTCATCACATCGTCTCACCCCCTCCCTTGCCTCCTTCAAGGCCCGTCTCAAAACCTTCCTCTTCGACCATGCTTTTGATCATTTCCCGACAATAACAATAATAATTTGGTCACTCAATCCACGACTGTTTGTGGGGACGCTGCTGTGCGTAATTGACTGCCGTGTTTCACCCATAAAATATACAGTCAATTCACTTTACAGTATATTCTGTGAAGCGCTTTGAGATGTCTCAAAAACGTGATAAGGCGCTATATCAAATGCAAGGATTAATATTATTATTTCCCTCTGACACCTCCCTTGCCTTCCACCCCTATTAACACCTGCTCCCAGTTCAGGTAAAACCTTTCACTGTCCAGCAACTTGGGATGGGAAAGGCGCTATATAAATGCAGTTTGTTGTGTTTGTTGCATTGCCTCTGAGTCACTATTAATGAATCCCATTGCAAACTGCAGCATTTTGACCCCGATTATGTCAGATGAGTCACAAACTGTGCTAGTTCTTCTTCCACAATGGATGACTGTCCCAGGATCATATGAATAAATATATGAACAAGATCATTTGGCTCAATGAGCTTGCTTTACCATTTTCTTAAATTATGGCAGATCTGTAACTCAATTCCATTTGCCTACCCTATCTCTATAACCTCTGACGTTAACTAGCCAAGTATTTATCTGCTTCCCCCTGAAACATTCCCACCGACTCTGCATTAAGTACTTCAAGAAACGCAGTTCCATAACTGAGTAAAGAAATGTCTTTTGATTTCACTACGAGCAGGTCTATCACACTGATTTGTTAGATTTTGCTCTGATTATGTCCTGTTCTAATGATGAATGTTTCTTTCTGTCTTGTGAAAAGGATGAAGGATTATGAATGTGTTTGTGTCACTTTATACATCACCCATTCTGTTGTCGTAAACACCTTGGCTCCTATGCACTAAAGTCAGCTTCAAATTTACAACACTCAAGCTGAATCTATTGTGAAATATTGGAAAATAAAATGCCATTGTTATGTTTCGTCCACAAAAATACAGTCAATCAATATTACAGTGAGATAAGGCACTATTCCAAATGCAAGGATTATTATTGTTATTTCTATTTATGTTTTTTTTGTTACCTCATGATTATTGTTACCTCATGATTATTACGTGGAGTCCACCCCTCAGTGGTTAGAGCACTCGCTTTGCAAGCGAGAGACCTGAGGTCAATTCCAGGCAGAGGGCGAAACCTTGGGCAAGTTTCCTTACTCCACACAGAGCCTAATAATAATCCCTCCAAAAACCCAAAGCAATAATAAATTGGTCATTTTCAATCTGCGACTGTTTGTGGGACATTGCTGTGCGCAATTGGTTGCCGCGTTCGCCCACAAATATACAGTCAATTCACTTTACAGTATATTCTATGAAGCGCTTTGGGACGTCCTCCCGACGTGAAAAGCGCTATATCAAATGCAAGGATTATTATTATTATTATTTTTGAAAACAATTTTTCTTTATTTCAGAATGTAATCCTGAATATAATTCAGGAGATGAACCTTTACCCTGGGCTTGGCGGTTATGCTTCTAACATTCAGGCTTTCTACATCCCCAACCCAAAGAAGGTAAGCAAGCATTTTGTCTGCTCTCCAGGCACAGAAGATCAGCAAGTTGCACTGAGGTGACCATCTCTATCCATAACCTGCTTTAGGTTTTAAACACATAGGAATCGACTGCCCAAACATAGTGGCAACTCCATGGTGCACCAGTATGTAGGGTGAGCGCTCAGATGCATGTACATACTCTTCAAAAACTACAACTACTTGCATTTATATAGCGCCCTTCACATAGAGTAGCATCTTCACATGGCAGAGACAGATGCTGCGAAGGGGGAGGGGCGAGAGAGGTGACAATAAGCATGAACAAAGCGGTAACTTTTAAGGTGGGTGTTCAAGGCGGACAGAACGGTAGCAAGCCAGAGGGGCAGAGGCATGGAGTTCCAGAGATTAGGGGCGAAGTGACAGAAAGATTGACCAATTTATTGCAAAGTGTATTGATTGATCGGATGTCACCATTACCGACAAGGCCATCTCCGATCACCACTTCATCTCCTTCACCACCTCCACCCCCCCTCCCCACCTCCACCAGACCCACCACCATCTTCTACCGCCCCTGGAAGAAGTTACCCCCACAATCCCTAACCGCTGCCTTGGAGTCCTCTGAACTCCTCTCCCTCTGGCCTTCAACCCTCACTGACCCCTCTTCTCCTCTCACCCTCCTCCACAACACCCTCTCCTCCACACTCGATACTCTTGCCCCCATCACCTCCCATACTGTCTCCTACTCTCGCTCCTCCCCCTGGTTCACCACCCACCTCCGCTCACTGAAGAGCCAGGTGCGGGCTGCTGAACGCACCTGCCTCAAATCTGGCCTAACGGTCCACCGACAAATCTGGCTGGACCTCCTCAAAATCTACCGCTCCACTCTAGCCTCGGCCAAGTCGTCCTTCTACTCCAGGATAATCCTGGAGGCGAAGAACAACCCCAGGCTTCTGTTTTCTACCACATCCCGACTCCTCCGTCCCCCCCGCCACCCCGTGCAGGTCATCTCCTCCAACCTTCACTGCGAGGAGATGCTGGATTTCCTTGAATCCAAAATCAAGGGAATCCGCTCCGCGGTCACTCCCCCTCCAACTTCCACCCACCCCCACCCCCTCCCTCCCACACTCCGACTCCTACCCATCCTCCCCTACACACCTTCGTACCCGTTTCCCCACCCTCTGTCACCAAACTCATCCTGTCCCTGAAACCCACCACCTGCTCCCTTGACCCCATCCCCACTCCTTATCTCCAGCTCCACCTCCTTGCCCCACATATCACAGACATCATCAACCTGTCCCTCTCCTCTGGCTCTGTTCCCATTCCCCTAAAAACTGCCATCATCACTCCCATTGAAAAAACCCTCCCTTGATGCGTCGCAGCTATCAAGCTACCGGCCCATCTCCAACCTCCCCTTCCTGTCCAAGGTCCTTGAAAGAGTTGTCGCCTCCCAGCTGCGCTCTTTCCTCTCCACCCATGCACTATTCGAACCCCTTCAGTTGGGTTTCCGTGCTGCCCATAGCACAGAAACTGCCCTGGTCAAGGTCACCAATGACATCTTGACCATCTGCGACCAGGGCTCCCTCTGCCTCCTCGTCCTCCTCGACCTATCGGCAGCATTCGATACGGTCGACCACGCTATCCTCCTCCACCGCTTGTCCTCCCACCTCAACCTTCAAGGCCCTGTCCTTGAGTGGCTTAGGTCGTACCTCTCCCACCGTCTTCATTTTGTTTCCACAAACGGCTTTTCCTCCACCTCGTGCGGTGTCCCTCAGGGCTCTGTCCTCGGTCCCCTCCTCTTCACCCTCTATATGCTCCCCCTTGATGACATCATCCGCAGACATGGGGTTAACTCTATCTTTTCTCCTCTACCCTCAACTCCACGACCCCCGATGTCCTGACAGCTGCCTGTCTGACATTGAGTCCTGGACGAGAGACAACTTTCTTCAGCTCAACGTGCGTAAAACTGAGGCCCTCCTGATTGGCTCACGTCAGCGCCTCCGCACCTCAGGCGCTGACAGCATCAGCATCCAAGGCTGCACTCTCCACCTCTCAAAGCCAGTCAGGAACCTCGGCATTCTGTTCGACCCTGAGCTGTCCTTTCTCCCTCATATCCACGCCACAACTGGCACCGCCTTCCATCACCTCCGGAATATCGCCAGACTACGGCACTACCTCACCCCTCACGCTGCTGAAACTCTGGTCCACGCCTTTATCACCTCAAGGCTGGACTATGGGAACTCTCTCCTCGCCGGCCTTCCCGGCACCTCCCTCCACAAGCTGCAGGTCATTCAGAACTCTGCAGCTCGTGTACTGTCCCGCACCAGGCTTCGCGACCACATCACTCCCACCCTCGCTCGCCTCCACTGGCTCCCCATCCCCCAGAGGATCGAATTCAAGATCCTCATCCTCACCTACAAGGCCATTCACGGCCTCGCTCCCTCCTACCTCTCCGACCTACTATCCCCCTACTTACCTGCCCGTACCCTCCGTTCCTCTGGCTCCGGTCTGCTCCACATCCCCCGCCCCAACCGCCCTACCATCGGTGGCTGGGCCTTCAGCCTCTCAGCCCCGAGGCTCTGGAACTATCCCCCAGTGCCTTCGCCGCCTCCTCCCTTTCCTCCTTCAAGGCCGGTCTCAAGACCTTTCTCTTTGACCGTGTCTTCAGCTCCTCTCTCAACTCTCTACCCCCTCCTCGCCCCCTCCCTTCCCTCCCCTCACCCTGACCATTTCCCCCCTCCTCGCTCCCCCCCTTCCCTCCTCTCACCCTGACCATTTCCCCCCCTGCTCGGGTCCTGACCCAACTGTCCAGCGCTTTGGGATGTCCTCCCGACGTGAAAAGCGCTCTATAAATGGAATCTTCTCGTTGTTGATTGATTGATTGATTGTGTATTTTGTAGGCAAAAATCTGCAAGCTCAGGTTGTGCTTGATGGTTAAGGGGTTTTTACTGAGTCGCACATGGGCAGATCGCAGGCTACCTGGTCAGTTCTGTTGGAGATGCTCTGTCTTTTGGGGGAGGCGCAATTTCCAACTTGACTGAAAACCAATATAGTTCAGATCTTGAGAAAAAGCTGAACGTTAACTGTTTTTCTTTCAGTTCTTATTTTTTTGCTTTTGTTTTCCGTTTTTCTGTATTGCTCAGTCTCTGTAAATGATAATAATCCTTGCATTTGATACAGCGCCTTATCACGTCTTCGAGACGTCTCAAAGCGCTTCACAGAATACACTGTAAAGTGAATTGACTGTATATTTTGTGGGGAAAATGTGACTAGTCATCAGCCCATCAATCTTGACCTGGCCACAGGGAGCTAGCCTTACCATCTTATACAGCATATAGCCTCCTATCTATGATGGATGTGGATCTTGCCTAACTGATGCACGATAGACATGATTTGACCTATATGGAGCAGCTTTCCTAGTTTCATTCCCGCAAGAAGATTAATGATATATATAATAATAATTATGTTGTACCAAAGCAGGGGAAAGGCTGACATACAAGAAGCGCATGTTTAGTGCAGAGCAGGCTTAGCTCCAGACTGACTGTATTGCATTAGAGGTCACTAGAGGTGATTTTGGAGGGTAAATGTATATAAAAGCCTGCTCCAGGGAGAGATGTTCCAGAATTAACAAGGTCAATTGCCGCAGTGTTGTACCTTTATCATTTGTAATGCCATCAGTTTGATCTCCTCCAGAGCAATCGTTATGTGAATCAGATCGACAAACTGTGCGCCACCATTGACGAGAAGGTGGACCAGACTGTGGAGAATGCTCTTAAACAACTGGAAAAGGACTGTGACCAGATCATTGAGTTAATCACGAAACAATTCAAACAAAGCAAGTAGGTTTCTTCCACTTGATATTCCGCAGCTTTTCCCTGTCGCTCTACGTTTTCCAAACGGTTAGTTGTTCGAGCAGTCTCATCTTCCTGCATGAAGCAGTCTCCACAATATTTCCTGGAGGCCTGAACTTCTGAGGATAAGTTCTGCAGGTCTTAGTATTCCTTTAATATTCAAATTATTGAATGAATGCAAAGTGAAATGGAGATGGGATGAACACAGTGTCTGCAGCACTGACTTCCAGGCTCCGGACATTGTGGTTCTTCTGGCCAAAGGGTCTAAAAAGATCTTTAAATTACAGTCCATAGTGGCAGGTTGTGGGGGTTTGGGACTTGCTGAATTCTGAGGCTTGGTTTATTTTCTGAGTAATTTTGCTGCTCCCATTATCAGAAAGATAGTGTGAGACTTCATGGGCACACTATAGAAACTTCACCCAAGGGATTTTCAATATTTTAGCCTTATGTCAGGATGTAGAAATCTAGGATCTTCTAGTTGGAAGTCCTTTAGATCTGCTTGGGCCACACACCATTCCTGAATATGTAGGCAGCAAATCTCCTATCTTTTAAATTAAGTGTGCCAAGTGTTGTTCCTCTCTCCCTGATGATGAATTAGTATCAACACTCCCCTGTGCACACCTCCTTGCACCACCACATCATTGTAATTGGGAAAGTGTGGAGAAGTTGCTGGCAACCGCCAGCGCACCCCATGTCCTACTACTTCATGGCAGCATATGTTGGACTTCCAACGTTGTGTGATTCATTTCATTTTAGAACATTAGCTTGCAGGCATCTGCAATAGGTACCCGCTGAGCCATACGAACAACAGAGTCTCAGATTTAGAGAGTGCGTTTTTGTGGATGTGGGATCAGTACAGAATTGGATATGGCCGTGGTATTCCCACAAGACTGTATAGCCTCCTGATATTGATCACATATGAAGAATCGCCATGTGGAGAGGAGTAATTGTTCCTGGATATCTGTAACTGTATTCCAGGATGATACATCACCTCCATGAGAGGAAGGCAAGAAATTTGGTGAGGGCAGGGGAGGAGAAAGAAACAAAATGTCCACTTTTCTATACTAATTGTTCCCATCCTGTTGCAGACAGAATTCAATATCAAATCTGAAGATTCATCTGAAGTGTTACCTGTTGAAGATATTTGGCTTCCTACTGCCTGTACTGTTTGTACTGAGCGTTTTACTAAACCTCCTTTCCAGAAATTTTCTCCTGAAGATCTTCAATGAGAAGTCTCTGAATGTTCTCCTGACTTTTTCGGTACATATGGCTCTTTATGCTGTTTACTGTCATTTCTTTCAGTAAGGATCCAAAGGCAACAATTTAAGCTTAGTGCTTTTTGGATAGGAAACTTCGCTTTGCAAAGAAGGAAATGGCGGGAGGGAGAGGGCAGAATCAAAGAGATCAGTAGTTTGATGGGTTTGAAAGCAGAGAGGGAGGGAGGAAGCTTAGGGTGGAGAGATTGTGGAAGAGAGTTCCAGAAAGCAGGAGCATAGTATCTGAAAGGAATAATGCCAGATCTAAAACTAAATGTCTTCTGTGTTATTTGTTATCAATGCAGTCTTTGAAAAGTTTAGCTTTTTTGGATTTGCATATACATGATTTAATTTTATAATTAAAATAAAATGTCATTTATCATTTAAAACCATTACTACACAGTTGCATTATTTATACATATCTTAAAATTAGAACGGAAGCTTGGAGGTGAATGTGGAATGCAGAATGTCATTAAGCAGAAATCAATTAATTTGTGTAAAAGGGAGCTAGAGGAAAGCTTGATGGAGGAAAGGGATTAGACAGATAATAAGCTTCCAAAAAGTAATAAAATGAAGGAGCTGGTTCAATGGGCCAAATAAATTACACCAGTTTTTATTCGTAGTACAAATTATGTCTTGCCTGACACCAAAGTACTATTGTTGGGGTAAGACTGCATGATATTCCTCATGCTGATCCTGACATTAACTTTTCTGAAGCCTTAGTGTGCAACACAAGCTGTCCTTCGGATGAGATATTAAACCGAGATCCAGTCTGTCTGTTCAGGTGGACATCAAAGATCCTATGGGCCTATTTGAGAAGAACCCCTCAGATAAAATTTATCATTTACTTCATGGCTGTTTGTGGGACATTGCTATGCAGTAATTGGCTGCCAAGCTTGCCTACAACATAGTTACTACACTGTACAGTAAATCCTGTGAACTGCTTTAATACTTCTTCCTGATGGGAAAGGCACTATATTGAGTGTAAGTATTATTCTTTATTATTATTTCTTGCTGAAAGCTTCTGTGACTGACTGTTCTTTACTTCACAGAGTTTTTTACTGGCTACATGGGATTGGATACCAATTGAAAACCAGTTTTATACCCTGCTTATGTTCTTAGGAATGTGCTATCTATCTATCAGGGTGCCTCAACGCTATATGAGGTATGATAGTGTGTCTCATACAAAATATATAGGTCTGTTTCAGCTGTGTAACATGTCTGCTAACTAAGCAAGTAAATTAAGGATTGCGAGGTAGATTTTTAGGTATAGAAGTGCAAGCCGGTGGATATTAGAATAGGAACAATAAATGTGTACAAAATGTAAATGTTTTCATTAGCAGAAGCAGAGAAGGATTGCATATCATTATTAGTCATTAACAGTTGGTTTCAATGCAAACCTGTTATTAACAACGCTAACAGCAGGTTCACATTAAAAGGTTCACTGTGCAGGTTCACAGTGACTGGGTTGAAGTCCATAAGGTGAGTTTTATGTGGATTGTAGAACAGGATGCTTTAAATAATAATAGTCCTTGCATTTGATATAGTACCTTATCACTTCTTCGAGACGTCTCAAAGCACTTCACAAAATATACTGTAAAGTGAATTGACAGTATATTTTGTTGGCGAAACGCGGCAGCCAATTGCGCACAGCAGCGTCCCACAAACAGTCGTGGATTGAGTGACCCAATTTTTTGGGGGGAAGGAATTATTACCCCTGGAAAAGCGATCTGCCAATCAACTAACAATCGGGTTTCCACTTAATGCTAGGTACACAGAGGCTTGTGGAGTAAGGAAACTTGCCCAACATTTCGCCCTACTCCCTTGCTCTAAACACTGAGCTAGAGGACTCCTCACTCTCTCTCTCTCTCTATCTCTCTATATATATATAGCTGTACCTGTTGCAGCTTCGCTTGCAAACAAAGGATCCAATGTGGAATGTAGATTGACACACAGACAGACATTTCATCTTTATCTATACTCATCTGGGAGGACTCCTGTGGGAAGACTTTGTTCTTCAGTTTCATTTAGTAGGCCTTCTCTCTTTTGTCTAGCATTTTTGCTTATCCTTGAATTTTCACTTGGGCATCTTTATAATGATAAATATAAATGTATAATTTGTATTTATAATTTATATAAATAAATTTATAATTTATATAAATAAATTTATAATTTATTTAAAAACTGGGACGTCCTCACGACGTGAAAGGTGCTGTAAACATATAATTTTGTTGTTGTTGCCGTGGCTTAGCTTCGTCTGTTCTTTATTTTGTTCCCACCGCCACTTGGCTACGTGCATGCTCTGTGACGCAGGATGTCACAGCGCCATTGTCAGCCAGCATGGCCACCAGGTGTAACTGCAGTCTGTGCGTACATACATAGGTGCTCCATGATGCACGATGCCGCAGCGCCCCTTTGACTTGGAGGCCACCAGGTGTAACTGCAGCAAAAAACGCAAAACTGAAATAACTCATAAACCATAGGAGATATCCGAAAACAAATATGCCCATGTCACTCCCAGATGCAAGAACTTTCTGATGAGGTATAAATCATATCTCTACATCAATCGGTTATTGAGAGCCTTCTTGAAGCGCAGACAAACATTCTCGTTTTATTAGTATATGATAATAGATATATAATAATAAGAGATCTCTAGTCTGTGCTGAGAAGAGGTAGTCTTAAAGCAGCTGGGCCGAGCCAATTTGTCAAAAATGTGTAATGGTCAACATTATTCCTGTTTTTCCTGTTTCCCAGGTTGAAACCAACTCTATCTAAAAAATCAAAGCGAAAGATGACACTCTGGCTTCAGTTTGTCAAGAATGTTGCAAAACCTAAACAGGTAAAATCACCAGGAAAATGTTTCAAAAGGTCAGCTTAATAGCTGCGGTTTAATTTTGTAAATGCAGCAAACAAATGGGTTTGAGCTCTTAATGGATTAGCAGCTAGTACCATATAATTTGTCGATTAACACAGCTGCACATAAAATATGTGAGTGTATCTCCACTGTATCCAGATCACAGCCAGGATACACAGAATAGAAAGAGTGGAAAAAGGCCCAGAAACCATTGAGTCCATCCCGGGATAATTCTCCATTCCACTTCCAACCCATTAATCTTTAAAACACACTTGGCTGAACATCCTTGATTGTGAAAAGTGACTATCAATGTCTGCGGCTGCTGCACAAACCTTTACAAAGATTGTTACCCTGAGTTACTGCTGTGTACAAAAAAAAAACACCTTTCACGTTGCAAGGACCTCCCAAGGTGCTGAACAGTCAGGGATTTGGATCCGAACTGGGGGTTTGAGATTCAGGGAGGGTGGAGGGCAGAGAGAGTAAGATTATGTGTGGGCCTGGGCTTGATTCCTGTCTAAATAATAGAACTAGTTTTCTATATGTCTCTTTCAAATCTGATTAGCAGAACCAGGTCTGAACAATTGCTTTGGCTTGGCCTGGATTGTAATTCTGCAGTGAGACACATGGAGTAAAATGTAAAAATGGCCAGTTTCTGTATTGTAACATTCTGCTTGTCATTTTTTAATTGCTGCAAAACAAATCTTTGTGTCTGTCTGTTAACAGATTCAGCTGCGAAAAGCTTACTCAGCTCTGAAAGCATCAAATAGCGAAAACAAGTAAATGGACCAAACAACAGCATTGAGGATGTCATCTCTGGACACTGAACACTTCTAGTTACTTCTGTCACACTCTTGGTTAGGTTCATCCGTTGTACCAGCGAAGCACCAACGCTTGCTGAGGGACATCCTAAAGTCTCACCTTCCAAGGATGTCAGTGTTAACGTATGCCCGTTGGGGCCTTTACCTGTAAATAAATCCAGTTATGGTCTGTGCCAGGTGACCGGGTGGGGTGTGTGGGGTGGGGGGGTGATGAATATGACCCATTACTGATGTGTAATTATATTGTTGTACTGTGAGGTACTGCCAAGACCAGATTGCTCAAATGCTTGTTATAGATTTATATGAAGAGTTTTCTCAAGGTCACAAGATTGTCTTAGATGAAGTAAGCCCTTTGGCCCATCCGATCGCATCCCTCCAGATTATCAAACCTTCATCTTCACATCACAGCAACGAGTCATTTCTTAAACAACTCCAATGTCCTAGCCTCACTCAATCATCCATCCCAGCAACCTGCCCTTGTCATGAATTACCCACTGGGTAAAGAAATACTTCCTGGTACCTGTCCTGAAAATTGCTGTGAATGTATTGGCTTTATGGAAACTTTATTTTATGGAGAAATGGGATGGGGGAAACTGGCTGTCTTCAGTTACGAACGCATGCCTTCTTCATTAGCTGAGCTGCATCTGAAAATGCAATGAGACTCATTTAAGTATTCTTTGTGCATCTGATTAACTGGAGGTGGAACTAGTGGATGGTCAGTAAACACCGATTCTTGGTGATCTCTACATCTATTCTCCTCCCCACCAACAAAGAAATTCTGGTTGGATATGTGAGAACCATCACAGTTAAATTTATACTATTTATCATTTAAATTTATGCTATCAGTTTCATTAAAGAGACGTAAATTTATATTGTATTAGTATGATATTTTTGAAAAGCATATTAGATACCGAAGGCAGGGGCATAACAGATGGCACATTTTCTTTGTATAGAGACCACTTTTGCATGAGTAATTGAGTTGTTAAGATCCAGTTCACATGAATCGCAGAGCCATAGAAATTTACAGCACAGAGAAAGGCCAATTCGCTCATTTTGTCTGTGATTACTCTTAGAAAGAGCAATTCTATCAGTCCCATTTAATTGACCTTTCTCAATAACCTTGAAATTTATTCCTTTTTAGATATCTAGATTCCCTTTTGAAAGCTAATATGGATTCTGCTTCAGTCACCACTCCCAGTAGGGTATCTATGAGCTACAAAGGGAGTAATGATACAAATTTAGAGTAAATGTGGGGTATTGAACCAGATTCTCTACAACGAATTGTGTACATTTATGTTTGGTGCACTGTTAAGATGTACGTTATAAAATGTGCTACTTGCCCTCAAAATACCATCAGCCATTGTACCAGCAAAACAAAGCTCAGAGGGAGATCCTATAATCTCAGGGAAAGAAGGTAAATAATAATAATCCTTGCATTTGATATATTACATTTGTGTAGTGCCTTTCACGTTGGGAGGACGTCCCAAGGCACTGGACAATCATGGATTTGGACCCGAGCAGGGGGTTGGGATCAGGTGGAGTGGAGGCCAGGGAGGGTAGGGGTAGGAGGGTGGCCGAATACAGACGAAGTGGAGGATCTTGAGAAAAGTGCGTCACAGGAATTACTCTCAAAGCACTGCACGTTACTGCGAAATGGGTGACTGTGGGTAAACGTGGTAGCACAATTGTGCACAGCAGATGTAAGGTGATTAACCAAGTCAAAGAGGTGAGCACCTGGACGCATAAACTAATGTAGTTGTGACAAAGCATTATATATTATACTACATCATTAATGGAGAGGTGTTGTGATGAGAATGATGGTCGCCCTTCAGATGCTCTGATTGCCAGGAGGATGTTTTTAAACACCTTTCAGAGTCCAGTGGCTACAGAATGTAGGGCATAGATCCTGATTTAATGATAATAATAATTCTTGCATTTGATATTGTTTCACTTTGAGATGCAAAGAGATGCCCCAGCACGACTTTGAGACGCCTCAAAGCGCTTCACAGAATATACTGCCGAGTGAATTGACTGTATATTTTGTGGGTGAAAATACTTATGTAGATAAGGTATGTGTGCTCAGTGTACATCATCCAATACCTGATTACACCCAGAATATTCTCAGTGGGACTGTTGGCACGCCGTATATGTTTTTTAATCCTTTATTTTATAAATAATCATACCAGTATAATTATTCCACAAACCAGTAATCGCAACAGGTGATATCTACTAAATTATACCGCCACCTGTTTTTTAGGGTTATACTCCCCCTTTTAAAGACCCCCCAAGCCCCTTTCTTTGTCTCACCATTGCCCCCAACATGGCACAGCTGAGATACGCTACTCATTGTGTTCAGCTCTGTACCTCAACATTCAGATAAAGTTTTTTTAAAAATCTTAAAATGTTGGCACGATGTGGTTTTAAAACCAAAATTTCACTGCTGCATCGATTCAGAAACATCGGTCCCATCAAAGTCCTGGAAAAGGCCTTTGATGGGACCGATGTTTCTGAATCTTGAATCCAGCATTCCTCAAATGCATATTCCTTCTCCAGTTGGGTTCAATAAGTCACAGGAAGGAATGAAGAAGTTTTAGCATTATCTTCTGCTTTTCATGAAACCTGGTCCCAAACCGTGCACAACACAAAACAGAGGTTGCAGAGCCCAGAATCATCATGGGAACCTCTCAATTTCACAGACCTTTTTCTTTTTGGTCAACTTTACCCCTGCCTCAAAATCTAAATTTACCTGAGCCTTATACATTCAACATAACGTGAAGATTTTTCACTTGTACTTAAAAATCTATTTCTTCACCCATGCTTATAGCCACCTTCCCCTCCTTATGCCCCTTCTCTGTTGGTGCTCTAAAACCTTATCCTACTTGAAGAGTGCAATATAACTGCAAGCTGCTGTAAATAGTTGCTAGCCATTTACTTAGTTGCCCTTGATCAGTATGGGTACGGCTGATTACTGTAACTTATACACCAGGACAACATGACCAGCCAGAATGATATATAACAGTGGGGTGTCTGACGCATGCGGAAACCCATCACCATGCTTAAGAGTATCCAAACCAAACTGAGAATTCCATGCATCCCACCTACACATGGGAATTCCAGATAGACTGATGGAATGTGTTCTCCCTCCCTAACGGGACACATCCTGCTTACCTACTTCCGGAAAGTATTAGGTGCAGGCTCTCAAGAGTCTAATACACAGGCTCTTTAGGTGTAGGTTGTCAAGTTCCTAAGTAACACCAGCCATAAAGCACGCTTCTTTGGTCAACATTTGGTTTGAACGCTTTGTAAAAAGACTGGATCAAAAGGTAAATTTTTCTCATTATTGCTTAAGAGTTAAAGAACGGCATCACATGAAAAAAGAGTTTTAGAGTAATGTCTGGGTCATTCTGTAATAGCCCCATCTTCAATATGATGGTTGATATATTCAGTCATGTGATAGGTATGCGAGAGACATAAAGATTCATTCGTTCCCAGCTGTATGACATGGTGGGTAAGCATGCAGTCTCAGCATTCAGTACTGGGTGCGTGGACTATTAATACCAGGGTGCAAACGGGCATCTCCCACTTACACTGTGAGTTGGCATATTTGTACATCTAGCAGTTTCACCTTCTAGAGATATATATATATATATATTCTGGGTCCTCCTGGACAATAACACTACAGGCTGCAAAACAAAATCACGTCTCTGGCATCTCAGAAGAGGAATTGAATGCCTTAATGACTCCAGTGGGCAGCAAAGCATTGGTGAGGAGTTGTCCACTTTGAAATGCGTTCCAGATGTGAACGTTTTCCCACACTTCCCTTTCCCAATCCTCAACGGGGCTGAGCGCTGACGATCTCTTGTCTCAGAAAGGACTGCCTGGTTGAGCTGTTGTCTCCATCAAACCACAGCTCCATGCGTGACTGACTGAGGAGGAACGAACAGCCTCTGCTATGTGCCTTTGCCAAACAGCCAGGCCATATCTCCAGTCCTAAAACCAAGAGAACAAGCAGATTATTGTATGGTTCCTCTTTTCTCAATTACCAATGTCGCAGGGCAAAATGATTAACCCAAATACAGTAAACCTCACATAAGTTGTATCAGTTGGAACCATACATTTCATACGACTTATGAGTTACGCCAAACTTGCATCAAATATAAACTCTTGAACAGGACTTGGGCAATTATAAAAATCAGGCTATGTGAGTTTTACTGTATTCCTAAGTAATCACTGAGTATTCCAAATCACACTGGTGTTTAGCAAGGAATTTTGATTCTCCTGAGAAACTTATAGAAGATTGTTCACAAATAAATAGATATTCTAAGGATTTTTGTAGGTGGGGGGGGGGGAGTGTCCTTTGTTGAATTTTGGGCTTATTGGATGAGGGATATCAGTCCTGGGAAATGGAACACTTTCCTAATTGGAGCTTTCCCAGTGTCAGGATCAAACTTCCTTACACACTTTACCCCAACAATGTGAATGCCTCACATCTGACTACTCCAGTGACATTTTCCATCCCTTATAGAGGCTCTCCTGTACTTTTACTGAATGACATTGCTCATCAGTTATTTTTTGATGCAAAGCAATTTACAATTGTCAGAGTTCAGATCTCCAAACATCCTCATGGTCAGCGATTGTCCAGATGACTCGCAACTTATCAGGTATTTTCTTTGATCTCTCCCCAAAGTATTATATATTTTTCAATCAGCTGGGTGTCTGACACATGTGGAAATCCATCAACGTGCTTAAGAGTGTCCAAACCAAGCTAAGAATGGCATGCTTCCCACTTACACATGGAAATCCCAGAGGTAGATTGTTGGAATGGAATCTCCCTGGAGGGATGCATCCTGCTTAAATAATTCCAGAAAGTATAAGGCGCAGGATGGCGAGAGCCAAGGTTTGGGGACCCCAGAGTTGGAGTTGGAGGTAACTGCTGGAGTCTAACTAGCTAAAGCTGCATAGCTTGCCATTGATATTGCTGTCCAGCAAGCTTTCTGGCTGCTTGTCCTGCTAGGACCAAGTGGATATGGAAGAGGGGGACAGGATATCCTCAGTAGCTCCTGTGATCGGATTTACAGCCTAGAGGGCAGTTCAAGTCCCAGTTTTAATAAGCAATTTAAAAAGCAGTTCACCGATGTAAGGCACGTACTACTGCAAACAGAATAACAAGCTTGTGGTACATACCGGCCAAGATGCACAAACATCCTTGAGAGCAAAAGGGGGAAAAAGAGAGACTCTTTGAGGTTATACCTGAGCATCGAGGGACCAAAATATCACAATTGTTTGCGATTGTTGTTACCTTGCTTGGCGTGCAAAGGGCACTGTAATGTCAGTGCACAGCGTCAGTGACAGTGCCTACTGTGGCCACCTCAGCCTCACATATTCCCACCGATAAAGACTCATAAATAAAGACTCACTCCAATAAAGACTCCGATCGGCCAAGGTATTTGCGCAAATGAGCGGAACCCACTCAAGTCCAGAAATAGAAACATAGGCACAGGAGGAGGCCATTCAGGCCCTCAAGCCTGATCTGCCATTCTATCAGATCACGGCTGATCTGTACCTCAACTCCAATTACCCGCCTTTGCCCCATATCCCTTGATATCCTGACATAACAAATATCTCGCCACCTCAGTCTCGAGGTGGATAGATTTTTGATACTTACTCCACGTCTCTCTTCTTGATTGTCCTTCCGGAAGCCATGACCTCCGCTACTTTGGAGACAATGGGGTCATAGTTCATACTGGAGACAGCAATGACTTCATCGCTCCTGGGGGACAGAAAGACAGTTTAATATTTTGTAAAGTTGTGTGAACGACAAGTACTGTGGGTGTAATGGAGCACCTGTGACAGACAAAAGTCACTGCGAATGAAACAACCAGCAGTCATTTTTGCGAAAATAGGTCCCCTCTTACAAGTTTTTTTTAAATAAAACGAAGAAGCCAAAGTGATAAAGCATCTTCTGTTGTTGGACCCTCACTTTGAAATGTATCCGTAAGAGATCGAATTTCCAAAAAACCTGGTGTTCCTGTGGAGGCAACTGTCAACTAGATTCTGAAATTGGAACCTAACCACTCCAGATGTTTTTCAAGAGTACAATACTCAAGGAGTCAAAGCGGAACATAGGGAAAAAAGGGCCATTCAGCCCCTCGAGCCTATTCCAGCATTCTATTAGGTCGTGGCTGATCTGTACCTCAACTCCAATTACCCAACTTTACCCTTTGATACCCTGACCTAACAAAAGTCAATCCACCTTGGCCTTAAAAATTTGAAGACAGCATCCACAGCCTTTTGGGGGAGAGATTGTCAAATTTCCACAACCCTTTGTGTGAAAAAGTTCACTTGTAATTTCACTCCTATATGGTCTGGCTCTAATTTTAAAATGATGCCCCCCCCACCCTGTTCTGGATTCCCCCACCAGAAGAAATAGTTTCTCCTGTAGCTGCTCAAGCAAATCCCTTTATCATTTTAAAGACCTGGACCAGAGGTTCTGTGCCTAAATGGTTTCAGCATACATCTTCAGCAAGCAGAGGATTGCTGATAGAACTGGGCTACTGACATCTAGTGGCAAATACCAGGATTGCAGCAACTTTTATTTTATTAGTATGATGTGGACTCCTTTGAATTTCTGGGAGTGTAACTGGACTCCCAGACCTTGTAAAGCAAGGTTCAGACAGTGCTGAGCACGGGTCACAGATGTCTTAGCACAGGACAGGAAAGAGTCGATAACCAGTGGAGTCACCATCACCAAAGATCAACCCAAAAGATTCAGTTTTGTCAGAGTTTGGCCTTTCCTGAATTTTGATTCCCAATGCGCTGTAGAGGTCGGGAGACAAGTTCTCAGGGATCACTGTGGAAATGGTTTCTCTAGAAGCTGGAATCAAGTTAAAGCACGTGGTCTCAGAGGCAATCATTGATCACAATAGTGGCCTCCACTTTTTACACCTGGGACGTTTCTATCACATTTTAGTGTAGAAATGTTCCGCAGTGTAATCTCTTTATATATAAAGCAATCGGGGCTCTGTAAAGTGAGACTCCCTCCCACTCCACAATGGTTTGCAGTGTTGCCACAAGACTTTGACTAAACTGGGACGGCGACCAGGAAGGGGGTGGGGGCCAGAGAAGAAGTTAAACTGAGCTCCACAAGAATTGGTAGAATTGGCTGTGAATACCATGATTGAGAGAGAGAGAGAGAGAAGATATTGTAAGGATGGTTAGGGGACACCCAGCAAAGAGATGGCTCTGGTATTACCTCCAGGGCTGAATGCAGTTGGCCATTCCAGGAGCTTTCCTAGATTGCAAAATAGTTTCAGTTTTAATACAGAAGCTTATTTTATATCGAAAGAAACTTTAAAAAGCAGAATGTCATTTATACTGTATTAAAGATGTCCTTCTTGCTGGCGTCTATGGATGATTAAAGAGTTAGCATTAAAAACAATCCTAGTTCACGTGCAGTACAAGTTAATACGACAGCAACAACTTTTATCTAACAGCATAGCTTCCCGGAGCAAAGCTCTTCTTGCACCACTCTGTCAAGTAACTCACAGGTCAGGAATACCATGAGTTAGATAGATACCTTCTGCAATACTTGAGTGCCAAAAATCACCAATGGATAGTTTTCTAAGAATTTCTTTTTTTTGGTGCATTCCCTTTGAGGGATTCACACGGAAGTTTCTTGTGCGCTAATCTGTACTGAAACCATCAGGTATATTCATCTGGGACTGTTGCTTCATTTACTTATTCTATCCACTACCTGATTACACCCCTGCGATATGTAACTCACTGGGGGAGTGGGTTCAGCAAAAGCCCTTGCACTTTGAAGCAGCCTTGTCCACTGCTATGTTGCCCGAATATGCAACACCTTTTGTATCAAGCCCATTGCATCAGAGCATCCCATCATTGTGAGGTCGCTCTGCATCTGCATTTATCACTAGACAAGGGTTCTTCTCTAAGGGAAACACAAACCCCACTGGAAAATGAACGATCGATACAAAAAGCACCTACTTGGTGTAAAACGCCACAAACTTCCGCTCATCTAAGTCCCCCTGGATGATGACATCATCAAACCCTTCCCCATGACCTGAAAGAAACAGCGAAATAAACTACTGAGATCTTCAACATAGTAACATTCTATGGGATACTAATGGTCTGTAACCTGTACTGATAAGATGGGAGTGCAACCAAAGTACAGTTCCCAAATTACTGTAATTCTATATAAATATTGCCATTGGATCTTTAACGTCCACCTAAACAGGCAAAGTGGGACCTTAGTTTACGTCTCATCCGAAGAAAGGTACCTCTGACAATACATTGCTCCTCGGGCACTGCATTGAAGTGTCAACCTAGGTTAGGAGCTTGAACACACAACCTTCTGACTCAGAGATGAGAGTGAAATCAAGGGAGCCAGGCTGACACCTAAAATGATTAAAAAATGTTATGCTGATTATTGAGAAGAAAAATCACACAGAATTATTTAATCAAGGCATGGATTCCAAAAGAATACTAAACCCAGAGTGACTGGAATGTATGCCTGAGTTAGTACAAGTACGGATGTTTATGTATGAGGGTTTGTATATATATATATATATAAACGTAAAGATTATTTAAGGATTATTATTATAACCATTTGCAGTGTTTGTCCTGGCCTCACTATTACCTGCGTATCGAACACTTTTCCCGAACATGGCTGTCCAGAAGTAGGGTACTGTCTTAATCTCGATTCCCCCTCCCAGCATGTTGAGGGCAGCGATCCGTCCTGGGGAAATGTAGGAAATGGATTTTATCAGTTGGGAAATGCATGTGATATGACACAGAAACAGGAATTGCAGCCAAACTATTCCGTGATAGTGTTTTTGCTCCACTCAAGACCCTAACCCTCCTTCCTCTTCCCCTCGCCCATACCCCTCTATGCCCTTCTATCTTATGAATGCGTAATAGTTTCTCTTAAAATTCATTACCTCTTCAGCCCATTCGATCGCGTCCTTCCAGAATAATCCACCCTTCATCTTCACAGCAACAAGTTGTTTCTTAAAACAAGTCGAATGTGCTGGCCTCACTCAACCACCCAACCCAGTAACCTGTCCTTGTCAATAATTACCCTCTGGGTAAAGAAATACTTCCTAATACCTGTCCTCAAATTGTTGTGACTGCCTTATTGTGTGGCTTTATGGAAACTTTATCTATACAGAAATGGGATGGGAGCAACTGACTGTCTTCAGTTACAGACTCACACCTTCATTACCTGAGATTTTATGGTAACTGTGAATCTCACAGTCGGTGAACTTGACTTGCTGCTACGCTCAGTACAAAGGACACTTTGCCCTTCCTTTCTGACTCACCGTGCATGTGTGCCATCTGCCAGTGACCCACATTCACCTTCTTGTTGTTGCGGAACGCCAGCGGGAAAGTGACCACATCGCCAGCCGCAAATACGCCAGGTACATTCGTCTGCATGAGCTGGAGAGGCAGGAGAAAAAGAGTGAGTTTGTTATCTTCTGTCACAGTGTCAGGCAATAAATGGGGAAGGAAAATGCTTCTGACCGCATGATTAACTAATGGTCACAATTGACGTAAATCTCTTCAGTTATTTCCTAGCATCAGGGATTGGTGGCGTGTGAAGCGCAAGCAACTTGATACCAGGATTTGTTTTCTTTATGCAGAAGGTAATCAACGAAATGGAACAGGTTGCAATAAAACGTTAGCAACTTGTAACATTGGGACAATGTGGTTCAAAAAGGAGGCAAATCAAGAGCAGAGAACATATGAAGTGGCAGTGCGTTGGTGAAACATTAGACGTACCTGTGCACTATACCCTAGGTTGCCATGGATACTGTGGATGGGCCCTCTCATGACCTACATATTTGTCATTTTTGACTTCATTGTACATGAGGTCGTTGTAATGAGCCCAGTGTCTGTCCCATAGTAACTACACACGGGTTAGCTTGGATGAGGGCACCTTGATTGATCTTCAGCTTCCTGCAGCCATTACAGTACCTTGTTAACAGGAAGGAAGCCTTTGGAGTCCATGTTGATGCCGCTCTGTTTCAGGAACAATGTGGCTGGAACGACACCTGTAGGAAGAGAAAGATAAAGGAAACACAGCACATTGTAGAGATCGAACGAACAAAGGAAGAGATAGAGAAGATGATGGACGAGACAGGAAGGAAGTCAGTTGGCTCATTGTATCCCGTCACTCCACTGAATTACAGTCAATGCAACATGAGAACCTACTCCCTCCCTATCTCACTACCATCCAATGTCTCTATCCCATTTACCACCAACCAATGTCCCTCCCCATCTACCATTCCCTTCCATTCAACTCCGCTCCCTATCTCCCAGTCACCATCGTACAAGGTAACTCCTTATCTCCAAGTCACTGCCATGCAATATCCCTCCCCACCTCCCATTACCCGCCATTTAATTCCCCTCCCCATCTCCCAGTCACCTCCATGCAATGTCTCTCGTCTCCCATTCACCACCATACAGTCTCCCTGCCCATCTCCCAGTTCCTGCCAATCAACTCCCCTCCCCAATTCTGAGACACCAACATGCAATGTCCCTCCCCATCTACCAGTGACCCCCATTCAATACTCCTCCTCCTCCCCCAGTCAACATCAGACGCTGCCCCTCCCCATCTGCAAGGCACCTCCATACAATGCCTCTCCCAATCTACCAGTCACTACCATTCAACTTCCCTCCCCATGTCACCAGTACACACTGCCTCTCCCCATTTATCAGTCATCACAGTACGAAGCACCCAGCCCATCTACCATTCATCAACAGACACTGTCGTTCCCCATAACACCATCATGCAATGCTCCTCCCCAACGCCAAAGCACTGATATTCAAGGCCCCTCCCCATTTCCTAATCACCATCAGACACTGCCCCTCCCCATCTACCAATCACCTCAATACAATGTGTCCCCCCCATCTCCTTGTCACCAACATATAATGACTCCCTCATCTCCCAGTCACCAGCAGACACTGCCCCTCCCCGACTCAATACCACACAATGCCTCTCATCATCTACCGGTCCCCAACAGACAATGTCCCTCCCCATCTCCAAGTGAGCACCATTCCATGTCCGTCCTCCAGTCATCATCAAACACTGCCTGTCTCCTTCACACCCCAATACAATACCCTCCCCCTTTTCACCAGCATGTTGGTCACCAGCACACAATATCCTCCCACATCCCCCGGCAACATGCAACGGCGTGTCCGATCTACTAGGCAGTGGACACTGGCCCACCCCCTCTCCCAATCTCCACAATACAATACCCATTGCCATCACCCAATCATCACCAGCTACTGCCCTTCCCTATAACACCACTATACAATGCCTCTCCCCATCTTCTAGTCACCAATGTACAAGCCCCCGTCTCATCTCCTAGTCATCACTAAACAATGTCCTTCCCCATCTGTCAGGCACCCCCACCCAATTCGCAAGCCCATCTCCCAATCATCTGCACACACTGTCCCTCCCTATCTCACCACCATACAATGCCCCTTCCAATCTCCCAGGCACCACAATAAAATGCCCGTCCCCATCTCCCAATTACTACCATCCAATGCGCCTCCCACCTCTCAGTCACCACAATACAAGGCCCCTCCTCATTTCCCAGTTCTTACCAAATACCACCCCTCCCTCCCCATTCACTTGGGGAACATTGTATGGTATTGGGCATGGGGGTAAAGGAAAGAAAGTTAAAGAAGGGATTTGGTATTGGGTGTTGATGGGTTTTCCACTTACCGGCTCCAACCACGCAGACGTCTGCTCGAAGCACCTTCCCGCTTTTCAGCACAACTTCTTTCACCTTCGTTGGGAAAAAAACCATGACCACATTATGTGTTAAGCAGAAGGCTTTTGAAGCACTAAATATTCACTCTTTGGGTCTTTTTTGTTTGATGGACAGACTCCAAATTTAAAAGTTCTTTCACTTAATTCCACTTCTTGTTCTCCCTCCTGCCACACATACCACACCCACCTCCACAAACAGCCTCAACACCCTTTATTTCAAGAGGGTTCCTGCTCTTTATCCAGAGACTCCTACTAGAAGGTACCCTGTGGTGGACATCCAATAGTCTAACATAGTAGGCAAAACAACACCTCATATCCAAACTATAATACCTGAAGAACCCACTTCATATTCCAGCCAGCAGAAAGTTCAGGAAAGTCATCTGGAGTAACTCCTCCAAACTTTCCTCTGGACAGACATTGGCCAGTCAAGTAATAATCATAACAGGAGCATAAGCACAAGCAGAGGTACCTTTCCATCCTGTCCCCGCAGCTCCGACACCTCATTCTGCATGTAGAATTTCACCCGGTTTGTCTCAAACATCTGACAGAAGGAAGGACAAGGAAACGGAAGAACAAGCGAGGGGGATCAGTCGGCAGCAACAGCAGTGATCATCAGTGCCAATCAACAGAGAGATCCATCAGACCCAGTTTACAAGCAATGGCATTTTGGGGAATTGACTCGAATAAAGAAACAGGAACAATTCACATGGTGTGAACTCATATTCTGTAAACAGTCAGGTATTTTTCTCTGAGGGCAGGGAGTCATCCCACTCAGCTCCTGTTAACCCTGCAAGCCAAAGCCCTAATGGGTAAGGTGGTCCTAGCTAGACAAAGCTTGCCAGTCAGAGATATCAATAGCAAGGCTATGAGGTTTTAGCTGATTAGACTCAGCAGTTACCCCAACTCCGGGGTTTTCAAGCCTTGCCAACCTGTGCCTAATACTTTCTGGAATTAGGTAAGCAGGATGCATCCCTCCCGGGAGAGAGAGAGTTCGCATCCCATTCCAACAATCTATCTCTGGGATTCCCATATGTAGGTGGATGGATGGACTTCTCAATTTGGTTTGGATACTCTTAAACACAGTGATGGATTTCCGCACATGTCAGACACTCGGCTGACCAAAAAAAAAGTATTTTTTCTCTGACTTACTTTCATGATAGATCGGCCGACTTTCTCCCCAAGTACCTTCCTGAAAGGAATATTTTCAATCCCGATCACGGACACTGAATGGGCTTTATCAGTGAGGTAGGCAGCTACTTCCATCCCTGAAAAGAAACAAATTGTCCCTATACAGTTATTTGCACCAACCCTTAATCTTGAAAATGCTAATTGCTGTGCATTCCTAATTACAATCAATTTTCTCTTACAGGCAACAACAAAATTACCTTTCACGTCAGGAGGATGTCCCAAGGCGCTGGACAGTCAGTGTTTCAGACCTGAGATGGGTGTCGGGATTGCAGAGGATGGAGGGCAGGGGGGGGAAACAGGGTTATCGAAAGCATGGTTGAAGAGTAAGGTCTTGAAATGGGTCTTGAAGGAGGCAAGGGAGGGGGTGAGGTGGAGGGATTGCGCGATGGAATTCCAGAGGGTGGGGGCAGAGTGGCAGAAGGTCCCCCCACCAATGGTGGTGCGGGCAAGGTGGGGAAACGTGAAGCAGGCCGGAGCCCGCTGAGCGGAGGGGGCAGACAGGATGATAGGACTTAGGAGGTCGCAGAGATAGTGAGGGAGCGAAGCCGTGAAGGGCTTTGAAGGTTAGGACCAGGGTTTTGAACTGTATCCTCTGTGTGATAGGAAGCCAGAGGAGTCGGACAAATATGGTGGTGATAGGGTCACAGAGCCTGCTGTGGGAGAGGACACAAGCTGCAGAGTTCTGGATGATCTGCAGCCTATGGAGGGAGGAGTTGGAGAGGCCGACAAACAAGGACGTCCAAATTCCAATTTTCAGTGTGGAGGGGCTTTATCTACCCTATCCACACATCACCTGGTGATTGTTAGGGGGCAGTGGGCTTTACAAATGTGTCTAAAATGCCACTGAGATTTTTGAATGATGAATCAGCTATATCAAGTGCACAGATTATAATTATTACATTTTACTTTATTCAGATGGTAATTAACAACTGGAATAGTTGTTTGGAAGAAATAATCTTAGATATGTTTCTCCTCCAGACTCCCCCCCCCCCCCCCCCCCCCACCCACCCTGACCCCTTCTACAGCCCCAGAGATTAAGTCATGACTCTTTAAGAAATATTATGTAAATATATGAGTACTTCAATGACCTGCACGTGCAGAATAAATAGCATAAAGGGTTCTCACCTATGAAGGACGCTCCCACTATAACAGCGTTCCTGTTACTGGCCAGTTTCACAATATGGTTGGCGTCCTCAGGTGTGCGGAGCTGGTAGACATTCTCCAGATCAGCACCTCGGCACTGCAGCGGTTTGGGTCTGAAAGAAGATCACAAGATTGGTTTGGATGAAGAAGGCCCTTCAGCCCATCCGATCTAATTCCTCCAGAACACCAGCCTCACCATATTCCCATCACAGCATTAAGCTGCTTTTTAAGTGAGTCCAATGTCTTGGCCTCAGCCACTTGCCAACCTATTCTAGTTCTTAATTTAGTCCTCTGAATAAAGAAGGATTTCCTAATATTTGGCCTGAAATTGCCCTTTGTAACTCTAAAGCTACGTTCAGCTGTCTTGCTGCATCCTAAAATATTGTTCTAGGTTTAGGTCTTGAGTCCCACTTAAAATATTATACATCTCTATTGAGGTCTCCTCTGAATTGTCCTCTCTGAAGACTGCGGGGGGAAAAAAAATCTAATTTCTGTTTCCACTTGAGCCTTTCTCAATTTAAAGTTGTATCCCTAATTCTGCTCTTAAAGTCTAAGTCATCTTGTCTGTTCAACTTCATGTTCCTTCTCAATCAGGCTCAGCTGGTGGCACCTGTGGCCTCTGAGTCAGAAGGTGGTGGGTTCAAGTCCAATGTCAGGACTTTGAACTCACGGTCTAGCCTGACACCTCATCCAATGTTGGGGAGCATTGCATTGTTGATGGTGCTACTCTTTGGATGAGACATCAAACCCAGTTCTCGCCCACCTGTTCAGCTGGATGTTGATGATCCCATGATTCTATTTGAAAAGAGAAGGGAGTTTCTCCCAGTGTCCTGATCAACAATCACCCAGATACAACAACAACAACAAGATTACGTTTGTATAGCACCTTTCAACTTGGGAGGAGGTCCCCAAAATTGGTCACTCACTCCATGGCTGTTTGTAGGCTGTTTTGGTTTGCAAAATTGACTGCCGCACTAGCTTACAAAATTCACAGTCACTACACAGTGAAACGCTTTGAGACGTCCTCCTGATGTAAAAGGCGCTGTATCAAATGCAAGGATTATTATTAATCTTTTTTCTAATAGGGATACATTCAGCTTTATACATTGAGGCCCAAGTCTCACAATTATCATTGATGTGTTCCTTTCTGAATTCTCTGCAACGCTTCAATGTTCTTTGGAGGGCAAACTGCCCAAATATGATCTCATGAGGGACCTACACAATCCTTTGGAGGCTGAAGATAGTAAATTGGGACATACCCGGACACTCTGTTTATTACCTTGTGTTGTTTCTCCCCCCTTTTAAGTTCCTCTCTCTCTCTCACTCTCCATTCCACCCCCGAATACAACGCACCGCGGTAACATGAAAGGGATAATGGCACCAACCCATCAGCTAGTCACCTGCTCCCAGTGGCGATCAGTAGCTTGTTGTACTCCATTTTGAGACCATCTTTGAAGCGGACCATCTTATTCTTCACATCCACTGAGACCATCTGTAGAAGAAGAGTTGGACGTCAGGCTGATAATATCATGGTGTAAAGGCCACAGATCACAAACTATCACTCAATCATATAGTCACACAGTGAGAGCAATACAGTGATTACAGTACATAGACGTACACAGAGAACACTGCACAGTCACAAGGACATTCATGAGAATGCTACACAGTTATAGTAAAAGAAGGGAGCAGTATTAGTGAGAGCCCAATGCCGAGTGTGGGAGTCAGAGAGATTGTACAATCAAAAGCCTTACACTGGAAGAAAATGCCAAGAACATTGAACAGATTTTGAAGAGTGTTCTCATTCTCTTACCTCCCTCTCTGTCTGTACTTCAATGTCGTACAAGGAGAAGAATTCCTTGGAACGCAGTGTGATCTGCTCCACCTGACACTCGAGAGACTGCAAGCACAAGAGCTAATTAGGTGCAGTGTGCAGAACGCATTGTCCTGCTCTCACAAAGTCATTACAGGTTTGGTCGCAAAAGACCTTCAGTTCATTTCATCTCATCCTTCCTCAATACCAATAATAATCCTTGCATTTGATATAACGCCTCATCACGTCTTCGAGACGTCTCAAAGCGCATCACAGGATATACTGGAAAGGGAATTGAACGTATATTTTGTGGGCGAAACGCAGCAGCCAATTGCACACAGCAGCGTCCCACAAACAGTCGTGGATTGAATGATCACATTATTATTTATTTTTGAAGGAATTATTACCCCCGGAAAAGGATCCTCCAATCAACTAAGAACCGGGTTCCAACTTACTGCTAGATAAACAGAAGCGTGTGGAGTAAGGAAACTTGCCCAATGTTTCGCCCTGTCCAGGAATCAAACTCAGATCCTCTCGTTTGCGAGTGCTCTAACCAATGAGCTACAGGACACCACAGTCCTGTCCAATACACAAAAAGCTGTTGTGTAAAGGAGGGAAATGGCAGGAAGCTGCTCTAGCCGTTGACATTCAACGTTTAACATTCAGGCTCTCTGGGACACTGCCCTGCGCGAGGGGCGCAATATAAGTGCAAGTTCTGTCCACTTTTCTTGTTCCTGCAACACACGCCACCTCAAGCAGAGCGTGTGCGGGAGCATGTATCAGTGTCACTCTTAACACTGGGGTCTGGGCAGGGACATCTGTGGAAACTCAATCCTGATTGTTCCCTGTTTGGGTTGAGAAGCACCAGCCTCTGCACAGCGACTCCCAACAACAGCATGGCCGAGAGCGAGATGGAACGAGAGGGAATGTGGACACGACAGGCTGGTATCAGCATTGCCTTTTCCCCACCCCCACCCCTAGGTAAGCCTTTATCCCCCTACAAATGTTCTCCTCTCAAAGCTCTAACCCGTGCTGGGGCTCAATCAATAGCTCCAGTTATAACCTTGCCCCACAATGAAGCAGTGGTTGCCTTTCATAGCATAAAACCAATCTCACCGCCCAAACTCATAAAGGACCCAACTCACTTCAGCTCCCGCCTGGATTAGATCATACCAAGCTTTTGTGGAGTAAATCAGCACCAGGCGATAAGGAATGGGAAGAAAACAATCAGACAGGGTCACAATTGCTGTCCAGTGACCCCTGCTGGAAGGTAAACATGTGGATGGGGGTAAGATTGAGGTTGACTATCAGTGACCCAGGCTGACAACTCCCTGAACTCCCACATGAGGCGTTGGCCTGAGGTATTAGAGATGGTCACTGCCCGCAGTCCAGCTCGAGTCTGCATTTTTGCAACACAGGACCAGGAGGAGGCCATTTAGCCCCTCGAGCCTGTTCCACCTTTCTATTAAATCATGGCTGATCTGTACTTCAACTCGAATTAGCCACGTTTGCTCCATATCCCTTGATATTTTGCCTAACAAAAACATATCCACCTCAATCTTGAAAATTTGAATAGATCCGGCATCCACGGCCTATTGGAGCTCCAGATTCCCACTACCCTATCTTCAGCAGAGGAGCGCAGAAAAAAAATTGGATTTGTAAAGACACAAGGTGGAGCTGCAGAATGCTATTTTGGCATTTGGGAGCCAGGTCAGGGAGGATGTATGCGAAGTGGAACCTAGGTAACTTCCTGACAGAGAGAGAGAGGCTCCCTCGGGAGACGGTTGAAGCAGGAAGTGTTGATTACCTTCAAACCACAGATTAGATCATTTTGTTTTAGGAAATAACATTATGGGACGTAGTACATAGTTTGTGCAAGCGACTGACCGCCAGAAGGTGGAAGGCTAACTAGATGAACCTTGGTCTTTTTTTCGCATAGCATCTTTTATGTTCTTATGAGAGAAATCAGAAGACAGATCATCCCAGTCCAGGATGTTCACACACAACCCAGCAGCCTCTCATACAAAGGCATTGCTGGAGTCTGAGCTTTGAAGACACTGGTGCACAGACCAAAACCATCAATGTCTTCAGATCTCTTAAGCAGAACCTTCCGTGCAATGCTTGGGACCTGAGAACAGCCTGAAAAGCAACACATGTAGAAATTCCACCTAGGTCTACATTTTCTCGTTTGACTTAGCATTTCAGAGCAACCAGAATTTGGCAAATTCTTAAATATAATAACAATAATAATAATCCTTGCATTTATCAGGTCTTCGGGACATTTCAAAGGGCTTCACAGATGACACTGTAAGGTGTAGTGATTGTATATTTTGTGGATGAAACGCGCACAACAGTGTCCCACAAACAGTCGTGGATTGAGTGACCACATTATTTTATATATATGTGTGTGCGTACAATATATAAACACACACACACAATCTCAGTTACGTTCCTTTTTTAAGAACTACAGAAAACTAACTTCAAGGTTCAGACTGAATCCAGCAATTTACCAAATTCTGGATGCTCTGAAATGCCAAGTCAACAGAATAAACGTTAGACCCAGGTGAAATTTCTCCCTATAGATTGTTTGTTCCTCTCACAGGCAATAAAAGGATGTAAATTACACAAAAAAAAACCTCTGGAGAAACCTCAAATGAAAGATGATGGAGACCTTTTAATAGTTACACGTCTGACAATGTCTATACGATGCCAATGGCTATAACAGGCTATTGTTCGGGAAGATTGGTAGCACAGTTCCACTCGTCCCTAACAAAAGGCAGCCGCTTGCCATGGGAACCTGTGGATTTCACTGGATGGAGTTTGCTGGCTTTAGATACAGATACAAACCTTACTTAGTTTAGGTCGGTCATAAGGCAGGTGGGTCTCCATGGTGCACATTACAATACGGTCAGTGAAGCCTTCCTGTCTCAGCGTTTCTGCACAGACCAGACCTGCGGGCCCTGCGGAAAAACAAACAGTGGGGGTCAGGCCTGAAGGCCTCAGGTGAAACCACAAGCAGATCTGTCACTTAATGGTGGGAGTTATCAAACTGGTCAGATGATGATATAAATAATCTTTGCAGAGCATCCAAATAACAATAATCATCCTTGCATTTGATATAGCACCTTATCACATCTTCAAGACATCTCAAAGCGCTTCACAGAATATACTGTGAAGTGAATTGATTGTATATTTTGTGGGCAAAACGCGGGAGCCAATTGCTCACAGCAGCGTCCCATAACTAGTCGTGGAGTGAGTGACCAAATTATTATTAGTAGCAGTATTTATTTGGAAGGAATTATTACCCCCGTTTCGCTCTGCCCGGGAATCAAACCCAGGTCTCTCGCTTGTGAGGCGAGTGGTCTAACTGCTGAGCTACAGGACTCCAAATGTCAAAACATCTCAAAGTGCTTCGCTGGTAATCCCTAGCAAGTGTAGTGACTGTGTATCTGTATCAGATCATTCCTGCTCCCGTTTGATTCAGCACCCTGGTCGTACTCCTCCATTTCCTCCTGCGCCTGCATCAGGACTCACCATGACCGTGTGGTCATCTACGCCCCATAATCCATACCACATGTGAGCTCCATACCAGTGGAAATCTGCTCCAGACTCCCAATGTGCAGGAGTCTGATCAGGATTAACTCCGTAGGAATCCCTGAAGCCACTCAGCAGCCTCTGCCAGACACTTACCAGCCCCGATGATGAGGACATTGGTATTGCTGTTGTTGCAGTCGCTCAGCAATGCGCACCGTGCCATTCGCTTCACCTTCTTCTGAGACTGCAGTGCCTGGAAGTGGGGGAGGAAGGAAGAAGAACAAAGAATGATGGTCTCATGGTTTGCTCCACATCTCTGGTATCTCTTACTTCAGGAAGCTTTTTCTCTCTCTGTTGCCACTAAAAGTCTAAGGCGAGCTCCCCTGATCAGTGGTGGAAGACAGACACTCCACCAAAGTGTCAAACTGAGCCACGAAATGCCAGGTAGGTCCCAGCTTCAAGCCTCAAATCTGTGGTCATTTCAACCACTGAGGTGCCAGGGAACATCTGCAATTGGCCTGAGTGGTTTTTTGTCTAGGATAGGAGAAAAATAACCAGAAAAATCCCAGGGCTCTGTCCCCAATTCTGTTCTGGAGGATCCTTGGTTTGTTTGAGTGTGTGTCTCTCTAACTGCAAATGTGTCTCTGCGTGTGTCTCTGTTCCCAATTCTGTTCTGGAGGATCCTCTGTGTGTTGTGTGTGTCTCTCTCTTTCTTTGTCTGTGAGTGTGTTTCTTGAGTATGTGTCCCTGTTCCCAATTCTGTTCAGGAATCAGTGCTGAAAAACGCTTCATACACTGGTTCGGACTCGAATGTGATGCTCTCAGTAGTTGTTCTGGAGGATCCTCGGTGTGTTTCTGTCTCTGTCAAGATAAATTAGCAACAGAGTGTTTGGCATCGCTGCAAGTATGGAAGGCGGTAAAACAGTAAAGGGAAGGAATTGAACAACAACAAAATTATATCTGTATAGCGCCTTTCACATCGAGAGGACGTCCCAAGGTTCTGGGACATCCTCCCAGCGCCTTGAGCATGAACATTTATATCTGATGTAAAGAACATAATTACTTTCCGAAGCCTCATTCACCGCAAGGTGCGCTGTGTTTGCTCTATGTCTAATATCAAAGTTGCCTGTGTCACCATCACAAATTGAATGATTCTCAAAGTTCAAAGGAACGAATATGTATTGAGGAGTGTGTGTGTGCCTGTGCGTGTCTGTGCATGTGTGTGAGTGTGCATGTGGGGTGGGGGGGGAGAATGTTTGAGTTTCTTGTTCATACCTAAGAGAGATAATTGCTCTACACAGACCCTTTGTGAATGATTACATTGCATTACACACACTGCTTGTGAATGACCGGATTAAGTGCTTTCAGATGACCTCCCGACTTGAAAGGCGCTAAGTAAATGTAAATAGTATTACACACTGTGCCGTATTGCTTTACACGTCTGCATTGTGAACGACTGCATTGCTTTACACACATCCGCTGTGAAGGACAACTCACTGAGCAAAGCGTGAAATGGCAACTGTTTGTTTTATTGTGATTGTGCGGGAGGAATGGCAACAAGGAGGCAGGCAGGAAACCCAGCGACCTTTCCTCCTGTACCTCACCAGTGTAGGAATTCTACTTGATTTGTTTTATAAAGGAGCTATGAGCAGAAATGTTCCCCCCCCTCCCCCCAGAGTTAAGAGAAGAGTCCAAATCAATGATCAGCGCCTTGGGACGTCTTCCCGATGTGAAAGACATATACAAATGTCATTTCTTGTTGTTGATCAGCCCCTGTGGTTTCCTCCTCCTATTCAGTACATCCCGGGAGAGTAGGATTTCAGAGTTCATATTACCTGTTTGCTTGCTCGCACCATCACTTTCTCCTTTTCTATTCTGACCTGTATGGGAGAAAATCAGTGTTAACGATATCTGGGAACAGCTAGAAAATTCACATCTCCCGCAAGTCCTGTTCCCGTTAAAGATACCACAGCACTACTCGAAAAGAGAAGGGGGTTTCTCTCTTCCGGTGTCCAGGCCAACAATCCCCTTAAATAAAATTGATCGCTTGTTTCATGGCTGTTGTGGGCTATCGTGGAATCCTCTAGCTCAGTGGTTAGAGCGCTCGCCTCGCAAGCGAGAGACCTGGGTTCGGTTTCCGAGCAGGGCGAAATCTTGGGCAAGTTTCCTTACTCCATACACATGCTCTGTTTAGTTAGCAGTAAGTAGGAACCCGGTTGTTAGTCAATTGGCGGATGCTTTTCTGGGGATCAAAAAAAAAAATTTGCTCGCTTCAATCCACAACTGTCTGTGGGACGCTGCTGTGCACAATTGGCTGCCGCGTTTCGACCACAAAATATACAGTCAATTCATTTTGCAGTATATTCTGTGAAGCGCTTTGAGACCTCCCTCCCACGTGATAAGACGCTGTACCAAATGCAAGGATTATTATTAATATTATTCAGACGTCTACAGCATGGAAGGGAAGGCGGTTATTACCTGAAACTTTGGTAAACTGTCTAATCCGGGAAAGTCTTCGATATCACCCGTCGCAACGTTAAAACAAGCCCCGTGCCAGGGACACCGAACCCGGCCGTTGTTCAGAACTCCTACAAACGGAGACAATCAGTTTAGGGCGAGTCCGCTCACATCGCAGTTTCTGTCGTTCTGCGAGTCCGAACCAATCCACCAGGTTCCGTTTATTATTTGAAGTCGAGCTCTGTTCATTTCATTCACTTTGCAACTTATTCGTTATTGACGCAGTTGCGATGAGCGGCTGCTCTGCCTGGCCACACACTGACCTTTCACCAGCGGCGCTCCATAATGGGGACACTTGTGTCCTATCGCACAGTACTCTCCTCGCTCCTTGATCAGCAGGGCTTTGCCGTAGCCCACGTCCACTTCTCGCATCCTGTGGATGGAAAGCACATCAGCTCGAGGTGAGTTTGCGCAATGTTGTTTTCCTCAGTCGCGAGAGGTCTCCTCGCACTTTGTGCAGAGGCTACGGCTAAGATTGAGACTCTCCGATGTGCACGCAGCTACTGAGCTCAACCACGTCTTAGCTGGAGTAATACCGACACACGGGTCCACTGTCAGCAACAATCATAATCCTTACCTTTCACGTCGCAAAGAGCTTCGCAGGATTGAATGCAAAGCGCATGCGGTTTTGAACCCCGCGGCCAATTTTGCACACAGCAATGCCCCACCAACAGCCGTGAAGTGAATGATCAAAATTACTCAGGGGATTGTTAGCCAGGACCCCGGGAGAAACTCCCTTGTCTTGTCAGACAGTGCTGTACATTCTGCTCACCCTGATAAACTATAATCTGTCATTATTGCTAATGATAGTATCTTGAACTATTAGCAGTAGTGTTATTAATGCTGTACCATTATCAATACTAATACTTCCAATAACAATAATCCATAGTCCCGTCTTGGGCAAGTGCTGTATTGTTGGAAGTGCTCTTCTTTGGATGGGATTTTACACTGAGGTCCCTCTACTTGCTGAGGTGGACTTTAAGGGAGTTTTTCCTGGTTTCCCGGCTACCAATCTTCGGTTGGTCATTCACTTTGTGGCTGTTTGTGGGATATTGGCTGCCAACTTTCATCGACAAATGCTCGGCTCTTGCACTTTCCAGAAATGCTGCGAAGTGCATTGAGATGTTCTTGTCACTACAGGTTCTCTATCAAGCATTAATATTCACACTTAATAATAATAACAACAGTATTCCACAACGACATGAATCGGCTGTCGTACTGCTACATTCCTGTCGGCGACGCTGTTGCAGCGTGCGTATTTGTGTCACGGTGGCATCAACAGGGATACAGTGGAACTGCACCCTCTCTCCAGCACAGTAGGACTTGCATCCCATTTATCTCCAGTTGTTCAACAATTACAAGATTAGGTTAGAATGAAGGTAGTCCTTCAGCCCATTTGATCTCGTCTTTCCAGAATTACCCACCTCTACCCCATTCTCGCAGAGCAGCATTGTGCTGTTTTTTTTTAAAAAAAACGAGTCCATTGTCCTGAACCTCAAACATCAAAATAATAATTTGGTCACTCAATCCACGACTGTTTGTGGGACGCCACTGTGCACAATCGGCTGCCGCGTTTCGCCCATAAAATACACAGTCAATTCACTTTACAGTATATTCTGTGAAGCGCTTTGAGACGTCTCGAAGACGCAATAAGGCGCTGTATCAAATGCAATAATAATTATTATTACTATCTTGACAATCTGGCCAGTCGTTAATTACTCTCTATGTAAAAAGATACCTGGTTTCTGTCCTGATATTGCCCTTTGCAACTCTAGATTTATGTCCTCTTGTTCTACTCTCTTGAAACATCCTAAAGTATTGTAATTATTTTTTCAATTTCATTTAGAATACCGTAAGAATCCCTCCGAGTCATCTCCTTTCAACACTGAAGAGTTCTGACTTGTCTAATTGTTGCTCATTGCTCATTCCTCTAGCACTGGGGATCATCCTCATTGCTCTTCCTGGCTCACCACCTTTAGGGCCAAGGCAGTTCCTCATGTTGGAGAATTATATCCAATATTCTGTTGTAGTTTTCTAGTGTGAGTCATTGATGATATGCTGGTCACTGGTCATGTATTAGCTAAAAATGTGCTGTACAGCAGCAAGGGAGAGTTTTACTCTTGAAGGACCTTCCTCTTTGACCGTGCCTACGGTCACCTCCCCACTCCCCCAGCTCGACATCGTGCTCCATCACTGTGAAGCGCTCTGGGACTCTATCCTTCGTGAAGGGCGCTATATAAATGCAAGTTGTTGTTGCTAAGCTTCACTGAACTTACTGCCCATCCTGGAGTTCATTCATGTGGCACACAGCAACTTCCACCATGTCCTTTGGGTTTTGATAGGGTTCCACTGTGATGGGACGGTCCTCCACATGTTTTGTGCTCCCGTTGGCCTTGCACGCAGCTATGGGACTGACTTTGCCGTTGGGTGAAAGGCTCTCCTTCTCTTTGTCGGGAACCATCACTTCAACTTTGACCTCAACTGGAAAAGCGAGAGACAGAAAAAGTGGTTTAAAACAAAGTCAGACATACTATAAAATGTTTTGACTGGATAGTGAGTGTTTGCTGGCTACTCGACCGTGTATTTTTGGGAAGGGAGGGAGGGAGGGCGGGCTAGCCTGATTGGCAATGACGCTGGATAACAAGTGAATCAGACTCATCCGAAAATAACACACAAAGAAAAAGGCATTTGGTGTCGATTAGAATCTGGCAATTTCTGACGTGTTTCCATAACAAGAAAAATGTGCCAAATAATAATAATCATTGCAATTGATCATAGCACCTTATCACATCGTTGAGACATCTCGAAGCGCTTCACAGAATATATTGTAAAGTGGATTGACTGTGTATTCGCAAAGCAATGGAACTCTGCATTGTTGAGATTTAGTTTGGGAGTGAGGTTCTTATGGGTTTAGGTGATTCATGTGTTTTACTTGCTGTTATCAGGAGTTTGCACTTGGATTTCTTACCAAACATTCTGGTTGTAAGTCAATGCACAAAAGATAATAATAATCCTTGCATTTGATATAATGCTTTTCATGTCTTCTCGACGTCTCAAAGTACTTCACAGAATAGACTGTAAAGTGAATTGACTGTATATTTGTGGGCGCAATGTGGCAGCCAATTGCACACAGCAGTGTCCCACAAACATTCGTGGATTGAAGTGACCAATTTTATCATTGTTTTTTTTTCTTGAGGGATTATTATCAGCCGTGTGGAGTAAGGAAACTTGCCTGCCGGGAATCGAACCCAGGTCTCTCGCTTGAGATCCCGATAGATAGAAATGTAGGAATTGCTTGACAAAAGAAGAACTAAGGCCCAACTTCCCCGCCTTCTACAGTCCTGGTAGTCGCATGCTACAATAATGGAGATGTTGACTGAAATTAATTCTGAATGGATTAGTCTACAACACAGTGAAAAGCTTTGGGAACCTTGTATCCAAAGTTGCCTGGTTCTTCCAAGCCATACGACACTTACTGTAACATGTCATGTGATATGTGACTCATGACTCAAATTACTCATATCCCAAAATACCCCAAAATATTCTTTTCTAAAATAAATCTATCTAATCTGCATTTTAACGAATCAACATTTTCTGCTTCCACTGTCTCAGGGTCACAAATTGATTCGGATGAAGTCAAGAACTCTGCTTCCTTGCACTGACTGCAGGTTGAATCCTTGTCAGCTTGAAGACCCATCACGTAGTGGTTAGAGAACTCGCCTCGCAAATGAGAGGACCCGGGTTCGATTCCCAGATGGGGCTAAACCTTCCTTACTCCACACTCCTCTTTTAATCTAGCAGTAAGTAGGAACCCGGTTGTTAGTCAATTGGCAGATCACTTTTCCACAGGTTATAATCCCTCAAAAAGAAATGTTGTCACTCAATCCACATTTTTGTGGGACACTGCTGACCTCAACTGGCTGCTGCTTTTCGCCCACAAAATACGCAGTCTCAACGACGTGATAAGATGCTATTTCAAATACAAGGATTATTATTATTATTAAGATGGGCACAGGCAGGAGCGAGCTGTGCTCACAGAAATTTGCTGACCTTCACAAATGAGGTCTCTGCAATCTCCTGCTCAGGATTTTACCCGCTGAGCGAAATTATAATTAGGAAACGTAAATGAGAGGGCAAAGTCGCGGACTTCAAACACCCTCAATCTTTTATAGAGTTAGCCCATGATTAATTTGTGCCAACTGACGAGGATTTAATGCTGCATCATTTAGCAAAGAGCCATCACACAATGTCCCATGGTTGTCAGGGAGATTGTATCAGTTGCATTTGTGAAAGCAGAGGCTTTCACTCTTGTTTCCATTCCAACCAAATCACATCACCAGGAGTCACTGGCTCACCAGCCTGTTTTTTTCTAACCTCTTAAGACATTCTACTCCATGGACAATGATTCAGAGCTGCTGAGAAGTGCAGGGGAAGAGGAGGAGGTTTTTTTGGTCAAATAGATCTGATTAACTCAGAAATCCAGCCCCACATTTAACACAAAACAGACAGAGTGTTCCACATATAAATGGAAATTTCAATTTGACTGGAGTGGAATGCGCACTTTCTTTCCAGAAGGACACACCCTGCTTCCCGAATCCCGGAAAGTATTAGGGCGCAGGTTGGCAAGAGTCGAGGTTGGAGACTCCAGAGTGTGCATTTGGGGCACTGTTGGGAGTTTAACCCATTTCAAACACCAATTGGCAACCTTGTGACTGCTTGTCCAGCTCAGAGAGTTCCAAGCATTCAGGCAGGAACGACAAGTCTTGGGTCCTATCTATTCGGTGCTGAATATCCATTCGGACTTTGGCCTGCAGAGTCCTTAGGAGCCAAGTGGGGAGAATCCCAGTGATCAAAGGGTTGCATGAAGCCATCCTCTACTGACCTGGATAAGGCCACAGTCAATCCACACTCACTAGATCAACAACAACAGCTCGCATTTAGATAGTGCCCATCACTAGTCTCCACCATCCCCACCATGGATCTGGACATCTTCCAGCCTCTAAAGCATCAGAAACGTGGACATGCTGTCAGCACTGAATATAAGGGGCCAAAGACTGCATGAATTTTTGGAAATCCCCTAGCACCAGATTGCAAGGGATTAGTTGACCAGACCCATCAAAAAGAAATAAAGAGATTTGGATAGTTATCGGCTCCACTGAACTGCCAAAGAAAATAATTGCATTAAACAGCCAGCCACCAGCAAGCAATGGTCACAAAATGTACCCACTACAACCAATAAACCAATCGTTTAAATTAGATCAAAAGACACCGGGGATGAGAAGTGAGTGATCGCATTACCTCTGGGGTCTGTCTTTGAATCGAGTCCAGATTTAAGGGGTGAAAGTTACCTGTACTGATGCAGTGAAAGCCCCAATTCCCTCAAGAGAACTATGTAAATTTGCACTTCCTAATGACGCAGGTTGGCAAAACAAAGCTGCCGAATATTTGGCACAAATTGGTATGAAATACCTGAAGACCTCCCTCTTCAACTGTGCTTACGGTCACCTTCCCATCTCCCCCTGGCTCAGTGTCGTGCTCCTCTATTGTCAAGCATTCCAGGACGCGACCCTGGGTGAGGGACCCTATATAAATGCAAGTTGTTGTTGTTGTGGTTGAAATAAGCCTCAATGCCTTTGGTTGAGTGAGAGAAAGATCAGCCAGGATTCTCACTGAGGATGGTAATTCTGTGACACCTACTGTAAAGTACACGTGTGTTGATGTTGGTGAGGACAGGATCAGACTAGGTTGTGAAGTTCTCCCCAGTGTCGCCCAGTTAGATATTCTGTAGATATTGTCACTGTCACTGTAGATTCTCTGTCCAGCCTTAGACTAGACAAAAATAATAATAATAATTTGGTCACTCAATCCACGACTGTTTGTGGGGACGCTGCTGTGCGCAATTGGCTGCCGCGTTTCGCCCACAAAATACACGGTCAATTCACTTAACACTATATTCTGTGAAGCACTTTGAGCCGTCTTGAAGACATGATAAGGCTCTGTATCAAATGCAAGGATTATTATTAGATAGAATAATGGACAAGGCATCACCAGGAGTTGTAGCTCAGCAATAATCAGAGCCTTTAGCAGACTGGGAGGAAAATAGGGGGAGAGGAAACAGAAAAATATTTTGAGCAAAGTAGTCACCAAGATATCATTGGTGCGTTGGCATTATCTGGGAATCCTGTTTACGTTTCTGGGAATGTTTGAAACATTCTTCCTGTGTTTATTCCCAGAGCTCAGCAGTGGTAAACACTCCTTGGAAACCAGGCCTGCCACTAAGAAGCTTGAAATTAAAGTACAGTGAAAACGTTGTCTTAACTTTGAGCTACTAGGCTCCATAATCCCTCCCTGTAATCTCTAGGTACCAGGATTTCAGCTCTTGCTCGGTTCCCCATAAGAACTGTCTTCTGCTCTGACTTTTCTCGTGGCAATGGGCCACTTTGTCCCAAGAGAGGACCCCCATACAAGGTAAAAGGGAATGATTTATGTCGGAGGACATGTACAGGACACACTAGACAAAACGGAACAAGGTGATCTGGTTCTGTACAGTTTATGTGTGTCATAGAGTATAAGAGGGTGGGGAAGAAAGGGAACAATTCTTCACTGTTTCTTTTTCCTACTAATTATTATTCTCCTCCAATTTCTTACTCCCCCCTCTCCTGAAAAGAGTCTGATTCCTTTTCCTTCCACTAGGGCAAGGCGATGCCCTGTGGTTTCTTACACTCAGGCCCATTAATTATGTACGCAGACAGCGTGGGAGAAAAGATAGCCACACTCAACGTCACAGGGAACATGTTGAGTTTGTGAGTCAATAATTTCCCAAACTTATACTCTGTGAAAGTGGAAAACTATGGGGAAGGGAATCCATCTTATTTTCCCATTCATTGCAGTGCCTCGCCCATTCCACCCCCCTCTCCCCCATCCCATTAACAATCCGAGATTAGCTAACCCAACACAGAATAGCTCTTCCATCACTACTATCCATCTAGGATAAGTTAACCCAACAACAATAAACAATAAATTATATTTACATAGTACCAGAATCCCACACAGTATTCTAAGGCTGCACTTAGAATTCGTGTACAGTTTTGGTCACTGCGATATGAAAAAGCATATTACAGTGATTGAGAGGAGGGCAACCAAGATTATATAGGGGATGGAGGGACCACAAGGAGCAATTAGATAAGCTGGGCATGTTCATACTGGAGAAGAGAAGGTTTAGGGGCGATATGGTTACGGTCTTTAAGATTCTGAAGGGAATAGATAATGCATTAGACCATAACAAGCTGTTTTATCTTGTACTGAACGATAGAACCAGAGGACACAGCCTGCGACTGAAGATGGGACAAATTCAGAGCAAATCTGCGGAAACACTATTTCAGTGAGGGAGTAGGAAACTTATGGAACAGGCTCCCTAGGGAGACCCTGGAATCAGAAAATATCATTTGTTTCAAGAACAAATTAGATAGATTTCTGCCAGAAAATAATATCTGGGGATTCAGTATATAGTTTGGGACACAACATGTCAAGCGACTGCCAGGATGGTGGAAGGTGAACTAGATGCATCTTGGTCTTCTTTCACTTAGCAAATTCTTATGTTCATGTCAGGAGGACGTCCCAAGGCGCTGGACAATGAGAGGTTTGCACCCGAGTTATGGGTTGGGATCAGAGTGGGTTGGAGGGCAAGGGGGAGGAAAGGAAAGGTGGCTGAAGGGATGGTCAAAATGGAAGGTCTTAAGATGGGCTTTGAAGTGAGGGGGCCAGTGACCAAACCTAGGACAACAACAAATTATAAATTCTGGCTGGACAATATGTCTCAGTATCACGCCAAGCATTGTGAGATCTTTAGATATTTACTATTTTCTACTCTCCAAATGTGGTCACTTCTGATGTGGATATAATCTGTGGAGCAGAGAGTGGGCACATTTGGAGGGCGTGTGTGTGTGTGTGTGTGTGTGTGTGTGTGTGCACGCTTCTCCCTTTGGATGAGATTTGGAAAGTAGGATGTATCGAAGGGTTGAGAGTGTCTGATAATTTCCACACTGCTACCTTTTTACTCCTTGAGTGTGTTTAGTTCAAAATAATAATAATAATAATCCTTGCATTTGATATAGCGCTTTTCACGTCGGGAGGACATCCCAAAGCGCTTCACAGAATATACTGTAAAGTGAATTGACTGTATATTTGTGGGCGAACGCGGCAGCCAATTGTGCACAGCAATGTCCCACAAACAGCCGTGGATTGAAAATGACCAATTTATTATTGTTTTGTTTTTTTGGAGGGATTATTATTAGGCGTGTGGAGTAAGGAAACTTGCCCAAGGTTTCGCCCTGCCTGGAATTGAACTCAGGTCTCTGCAAAGCGAGTGCTCTAACCACTGAGCTACAGGAATCCACAGCTGCAGTTAGATCAATGGCTGGTAAAGGAAAATATTTTTATTCTTAATTCCAGCTAATAGTCATGAGCAAACCTAATGAAACCTCTTTAAGAGTCATTAGAATCTGAGCTAATGGGTTGATCAATAATTGCCAAGAAAAGGAATATTTCATTTGTGGGACAAACCAAGATATATGCAGATTACCCAGCCTGGATTATGGGGTCTTTTCTTCAACAAATGTTTTATTTAAGAGGGGTGGAATCACTGTGCACATTGTTTGTGGCCAACAAATTTCTGCCTTCTGCCTTTCCTCATTCAGGCTCTTAAGGTGGGGCGAGCCCGACAGAACTAACCTTTCCTCTGCTCCATTTTGCGTACAAGCTTTTTCATAATCTTTTTACAAACTTTTTCCACTCTGTCCACTTACCTGCTATCTGAGTGAGACTTATTCGGCCACTCAATCTACGACTGTTTGTTGGACGCTGCTGTGTGCAATTGGCTGCCGCGTTTCGCCCACAAAATATACAGTCACTACACTTTACAGTATATTCTGTGAAGCTCTTTGAGACGTCTCAAAGGCGTGATAAGGTGCTATATATAATGCAAGGATTATTATTTTCCATGAAGTTTCTCAATGTAATGCTGGTGATGGGGGCACCAATTGGTCGAGTGTGAGGATGGCACTCATTGATCAAACTTGGGGATGGCAGAGAGTGTGTGAGGGAAGTGGTCAATTTTTTTTTTAATTGTCTTCTCACCATTGACTTTGCAACATTAAAAATGTTCAGATAAATACCTTTGATTCTTCTTTTAAAAAATGTGTTTACGTCAGCAATCAAAATCTTTCGGTGCCTTGGGATGTCCAAGGCACCGAAAGTTAAGTTAGCTTTTCTTTGTTAGTTATGAAACAATAACATGTTGCATTTATATAACGCTTTTCGATGCGAAAAGCGTTATATAAATGCAACATGTTATTGTTTCATAACTAACAAAGAAAAGCTAACTTATTGATGACTAGGGTTCTTGTTATCTACTCGAGAGAAATAGTCATGTTTGACATTGTGAATCCTTAGAATTGGAAACTCTTGTGGAAATTGTGTACTCTGAGGGATAAGCAGGTTTTCAAAGGCCCCTTAAGCTGCGTTGAGCAAGAATGAAAGAGATTTAAAATTCCTCCTAGCTCCCTCACCCAGTGGCTTGACCTACTTCTGCAAGCGTTTTTCAAAACATATTGACCGATTAGTGTGGGATTTGAAAGATCAAGTCACCTGGTTTGGGCTTCGAGAAGCATCCTCCCATGACTGGGCGAAGCTCAATGGTTGACTTGTTGCGAAGGAAACCGAAGGACCACAATGTCTCTGGGCACTTGATGGGCAGGCTTTTCAAGTCACAACATCTGGTCGCTCCTCAGAGGGAAGGACAGGGTATCACGGCCATAGCTGGTAAGAGCCAGGAGCTCGTTAAAGAGAGTGATGGAGAGGATTCCATAGTGATGAGGACCAATCCATTCTGATCCAGCCTTCAGCTTCAATCTTCCAATCTTCCAAATCTACACAACCAAGAACAAGGCAAAAACATCCATTCTTGTATTTTATCTATTTTTGAATCCTTAGCACATTATAAATTATTCAAATACAACTTAGTTAAACCAACTCATGTATCCTAACTAAAACCTGTTGACTCTTCAGTCTAAAAAGGATTGCGTGGGACCAATGTTTTACAGTGGTTTATTGTTCACTAATGGATATATTAGACTAGTGGAGTCCTGTAGTTTAGTAGTTAGAGCACTCGCCTCACAAGCGAGAGGACCTGGGTTCAAATCCCAGTAGGGCGAAACATTGGGCAAGTTTCCTTATTCCGCATGCCGGTTACCTCGAGGTAAGTAGGAACCTGGTTGTCGGTCAATTGGTGGATCACTTTTCCGGAGGGAATAATTCCTTCCAACAAAAATGTTAATAATAATTTTTTATTATTTATTTAAATTTTTGGTCACTCAATCCACCACTGTTTGTTGGGATACTGCTGTGCGCAATTGGCTGCCAAGTTTCACCCACAAAATGTACAGGTAATTCACTTTACAGTACATCCCGTGAAGCGCTTTGAGACATATCAAAGACATGATAAGGCGCTATATCAAATGCAAGGCTTATTATTATTCTTATGGTTATATTGCTGCTGGACACGTTGCAGACTTGGGTGTCAACCCCTTTTTCAAGCTTGACAAATGAAAGACAGCACTGCGCAAATTCTTAAGATTGTACTATTGGCTCGTGTTTGCCTTATTGCAATTCACTAATATTTTTTCTTTCTCTTCCCAACAAGATTTTCAGTGAAGTAATGTTGTGATTGCAAGCCAGAAGAGCAAAAGCAAAAGGAAAACATGACAGTACATTAACAGGAATTCCTTAAAAGTGGCCCGAGCTGTGATTACAAAATATTTTGTATTCGTAACACTAACAAGAGGTACAACATCTGATAAGACACAAAAATATTCAAACAGAACGAGCTATACATCCTTCTGCATCCAGAGGACACAAAGAAAAGGGAACTAAATTAGGCTGGACTATGTCAAGGTACATCTAGTTGTTGCTGGGATGAAGGTATATTACCTAATCATTTGGGTTGGAACCAACTCTTTGGTTTCTCTAGCGAATCAGAAATAATGAAGACAGTATTTATTCTGAGCCCCAGAGAAGGATATTTAGGGAATGCTCCCCCAAGGTAGCTTTCAACAGAGGTCAACAAAGCCTAGAGTTACCATCACCATCAACAATACAGAGCCACTAAATTTGTATGGTATCCAGGCCATCACCAAATAGTACCAATGCATAGTCTGCGTTGCTTTCTGCCAGAATAAGGCGCATCTTATATCAATCATGCACATTCTTTGAGTAGCCAGAAAATGCTATTGAAACAGTCTAAATAGATAATAGAGGGAGCTATGTTTTTTAGTCTTGTCTTAAGAAATCCTACATCGTTTCAGAAGTGGATCTTTGGAAACGGATATATCAGCACTGGTTGTAAGACTACAGTAAGTACTAAATCTAATTACCAATAGGGTTCAATATTTGTGAATCCTATTGTGAATACTGCCTTTGAATCCTCTATGTATCAGATGTGTGAAAGAGAAGTCTGGAAAGTATAAAATTGTTTGGAAATTTAGAGGACTACAACAATTCCATCCAATTGAGACTTCTGTTCCTATTAAGGATGACACTTTGTCATTTCCAATGCAGTGCTGGTTGTGCGCTGTACTATTAAAAATTAAAATGTATTAAAATATTCATAAAGAAAAGGGATTTTTTCATGGTGTACTGTCCAACAATACCCAAATAAAATTGCTCATTCGCTTTATGGCTGTTTGGGGGACATTGTTCTGCGCAAAATTTGCTGGTGTGACACTTTACAATATGTCACTTGAAGAGTTACGGGATGTCCTTGTGACATGAAAAGCACTATAGCAAATTCAAGGATTCTTCTTTTTATTATTAAGCCCCATGAGCTGACAACTGCTTTCTTTCAAAACTGGTTGCAACCTCCCATTCCATAAGAGTTAAACTAACTCACTAACAAATTAAATCAGAGACCAACACCCAGCTTTTTACCCAACTTCTCTTACCTGGTCCTATAGATTAATAAGATAACTGTGCCTTTATACGTGCAATTATTCCTGCAAAACACAGAGATTTCATTAGACATGGGAACAAAATGAGGACAAAGATTATGAAATTCAGTCAAGAGGTGAACGTACAAAAGTTTCTAAGATTCAAACATCATATGGACTCCCAATGGACCCTAATCGCTATTGTGCTGCTTGCGGTACTGTTAGTGAAGATTACACTTCTTCAGGAGACTCTGCAGAGTGTGACCTCAGAAATGTTCATGTCTACTTTTCTGCAATAATTTGATGCCCAGATTGAAGACTTGGAAAATTTGAAGAACATCTTCAAATACCATGAGAAGAATGGAGTGGGCGGTCTGTAAAACAAAAGTACAATTACATCTTTTAACTGAGTCGTGGGGTCCTGTAGCTCAGTGGTTAGAGCACTCGCTTTGCAAGCGGGAGACCCGAGTTCATTTCCAGGCAGAGGGCGAAACCTTGGACAAGTTTCCTTACACCACACACCTACTAATAATCCCTCCAAAACCAAAAATAATACTAAATTGCTTATTTTCAATCTACGACTGTTTGTGGGACATTGCTGTGCGCAATTGGCTGCCGCGTTCGCCCACAAATATGCAGTCAATTCACTTTACAGTGGCTTCTGTGAAGCGCTTTGGGACGTCCTCTCGACGTGAAAAGCGCTATATCAAATGCAAGGAGTATAGTATAGTATATGTTCACACTGCCGCTGACTGCAGTGTAAAACGACTACAATGATTTGCTTTTTTGTCTTGTCTCTTGTCTTCCCGGCAATCTGTCCATCATTAATTACTCTCTGGGTAAAGAAATACTTCCTGGTGTCTGTCCTGAAACTGCCTTTTGCAATGCGATCTTGTACCCTGTTGCCTTGGTCACCAAAAGTACTGGTATGAATTTACTTTCTCAATTGAATTTAAAATATTACTTCGTTTGTATATTGCAAAATTGTTCAATGAAATAGTGTTTCCACAGATTTGTTTTGAATTGACCCCTCTTCATATTTTGAAGTGTGGATACTCTAAAGTGCAGAGGTGGGTTTCCACATGTGTCAGACACCCGGCTGACCGAAAAAAAAAAAAAAATGTTTTTACAGGCTGAGACTGGGTCAAATTTTGCGTCTCCGTGAGCTCTGCTGGAAAAACGCTAGTGTTACAGAATAAAAATATCTCCAGATAGACTTCCTTCCAGTTAGTTAGCTCCCTCCTTGACCTCTGGTGGGAACATGTGTAAGGTATCGTTTTCTGATCCAGCTGTGCTATAAATGCCTGCAGAACATGTCTTATTTTCGTCACTGCCTTAGTTGAGCTTTTATTATCGGGCAAATTTTTCCGTACACTCCCTCACCCATAAAAGAATTTGGACTTTCTATATTTAACATCTCGAGAAATTCTGAATACTAACTTTAGGCACATCAAGATTATTCTCTCCCCCTCACAATCAGGAAAGCATTAACCCTCCAAAATACTTACACTTACAGTACACAGCTCGAACAGATGAGGGACAGAGAGTGGAGGGTGGAGGTGGGCGGGAGTTAATGGTGTCGGTCTCCTCAGGACTGAGCTGGCTCGAAGATGTGGTGGTCTCAGTAGCCCAGTTCCTGAGCCAGGTGGGTCTGTCATTAGCAGTACTGGTGATAGCTGACTTACCAGCTAAGCTCATTGGCAGGACTCGGAGGAGCAGATCAGTCAATGGGGTCAAGGATTCTTCCCGCTCAGCTCCTATTATCCCTGCAAACCTTAATGTTAGGACGGTCCTAGCTGGATAAGTAGCAGGAAGCTTCCCAAACAATGTTTTTAATGACAACAACTTGCATTGATATAGCGCCCCTCACAAAGGCTCATCCCAGAGCGCTTTGACAAGTTATGTTGGTTCAACTTGAGGACCACAAGCCTTGTTTCTTGCCAACGTGCGCCTAAGACTCTTCAGATATAGGTGAGCAGAGTGCGTCCCTCCAGGGAGAGAGTGCGCATCCATTCTAGACACAGGGACATTAACATGTGTGGGTGGCACACCCAGTCAGGTTTGAATACTTTTAATAATAATAATCCTTGCATTTAATATAGCGCTTTTCACGTCGGGAGGACGTCCCAAAGTGCTTCACAGAATATACTGTAAAGTGAATTGACCGTATATTTGTGGGCGAACGCGGCAGCCAATTGTCCCACAAACAGTCATGGATTAAAAATGACCAATTTATTAATTTTTTTGGAGGGATTATTATTAGGCGTGGCTTAAGCGTGGGTATGGGCTTCCACATGTGTCAGACATCTGGCTGACCAAAACAATTCAACACAGACTCTCCCCCAAATACAGTTGAAATACTCCCATTCACCCCAGCTAATCTGTGCTGGTGTTTATACTCCATATGAGCCCCCCACCTCTCCTGTATCCCTATATTCCGCTGATAAGTAGCTTTAATTATAACAAATTAACACAACTTAATAGAACTTCTTTGTAGATTAATTCGATTTCCTAGCATAAATCATGAATTAATCTTTAGATAAGGCGTCCGATCGTTCTTAATAATAATAATAATCCTTGCATTTGATATAGCGCTTTTCACGTCGGGAGGACATCCCAAAGCGCTTCACAGAACACACTGTAAAGTGAATTGACTGTATATTTGTGGGCGAACGCGGCAGCCAATTGCGCACAGCAATGTCCCACAAACAGTCGTAGCTTGAAAATGACCAATTTATTATTGTTTTTTTTGGTTTTGGAGGGATTATTATTAGGCTCTGTGTGGAGTAAGGAAACTTGCCCAAGGTTTCGCCCTCTGCCTGGAATTGAACTCAGGTCTCTCACTTGCAAAGCGAGTGCTCTAACCACTGAGCTACAGGACTCCAGACTTGACAGACTTTTTGAAGCAACTGTTTATTTAA